TTATTATTAATTATTATTAATCAGTATATTTTAAAGAAGTCTTTTATGATAATTTTATGTAGGTCAATAATAGGTATTAAAAATAAATGAGCACATACCATTATAATGTTTAATATATATTGAACAATTTCGAATCCACGAAATAAAAAAACTATATTCTTCGATAAAACGTAAAACGGTTTGCGTTGATATGTATATTTCGAAAGTTAATAATTTGTCCATTATTTTCATAAATTTTTAGAAATATCTTTATTAATTCAAAAGTATCTCTTACTCTTATAAATACAATACCCACAACACATATTATGATCGTCATATGCGTTATGAAAAAGACTTAATTATTCAGTATACATAACCATATGCAATACAGCGCAGCGCCGTAATACGAAATAAAAAACTATATAAAATTTTCACTCGCATACTTTCGTCACATTTTGCAACGAAAAACGTTGTCATTTTTCATATTATTATTTTATTAAACGCTGAGAACATAACATACTAAACGCATCATCGCATCGCGCATTTAATCAAAAATCTATATATAGATAAGGAAAACCGTACTCTTAGTCAAACGAATCAAGCTTAATGTCATCGGAATCATTGACAAAAAAAAGGGAAAAAAAGGGAAAAAAAAGAAAAAGTAAAGAAAAAAAAGGATAGAAACAAAGCATTCTCGCGCATAATATAGTGAGGAAGGATGCCGCGGACCTTGTAGCGACAGCAGTAACCATCGCCATGTCTGCCAACATACATCAACGAACAAAGTGAAGTTATGCACATTAACTCTGCGCACCAGGACTGCACTTTCGGTATGCACCGATGTTTAGCGATAAACTGATTGGCTTATCCTCCTACGCAATGAGTTATTTACTTGTGTTTAAAACCATTTGCAATTATTACGCTTATGACCACTCCACTCACTTTCTTGGCATAATAACTTAAACATTTTTCCCTTTCATCTCTGCTTTGCCTAAAGCAGTAATGTTTGTTTCATATTCTTGTATCACATAAATTATATCAGTTTGTCATTAATTTAGTCGATGTATATATACATATATATATATATATATATATATATATATATATATATATGCGCAAAGTAAATATGCCAATAACACACGCTCGCGTTGGTAACAAAAACATCAGTTTCACTTGAAATTGTCGTGGATCGAATACATCTCTTATTGAACAAGTGGAAAACGTGGGAAATGGATCCAACGCAGTACAGATATCAATGGATCGCCGTTTAACGAAAGTGACGAATATATTTCTCGGCAACTAATTTGAGCGTTGGTGTAGATTTGAGCGATCTATATTCTATTGCAGAATACAAACTCAATTACACGCAACATCAACCGAGCATGATTAAATAAAAGTGCAATAACAAAAGAACGCCTATATATTTTATACCATCGAACGTCATAGTTCCTCGATTTTTCTATTAAATCTTTAATCCTATATTTCCCACAGCTTAAAAGCGATACCGCATATATACACAAAATTCAACTACACACAACTATTTTCGGACTTAGTATAGTGTAGTAATAGTTGCTGATCTCTTTCGTAAAATCATAAATATTCTATATGATAAATATATTGATCAGACTTAGTTCTATGTAGAAAAAAAATTAAGACATTGTTGATTAAATATAACGTCGGACATATGAATTGAAACGAACGGACAATTACGTAAACACAGCAAGGACACCAATTTAGGGAAAGTTGTTATTTCACTTGACTCAACGACTTCACAAACCCTATGCTGTAGTAATAATTTGAACAAGTTTATGACATTTGCCTTCACCTTCGTGTCGCGTGTCACAAAGAGAAAAATACTATTAGATTAATAAGTGATTTTTGCCGGCTTATATACAAGAGTTCAATCATTAATTAAATTAAATACAGACGTATAGGAACTTACCAAAAAAAGAACAAAATGTTTTAACGATATTATTATAGATCATCTAATATTAATGAAAGTAATATTTATTGTATAAATTTATTTAAAATAACAACTAATATTAATTATAACTTGTGCAATTGTAATTACAAATTAACTATGTGATCTCTCTAAGGATGTCTGAAAAGATTTCAGATTTCAGTAATGATATTGCACTTTTACCACTAAGTTTAATTTCTGTTTATTTGAAGTTCAATTATAATTGGCATAAACTTACCATGTATCGTACAATCATTCAAATTAAAATAATAAATTAATAAAATAGTAGTAGTTTACTGTTTGGAATATAATGAAAAATTTATATTTCGTAAATTGCCAAAATATTGGATATATACAATTTAAAATTAATTTTAAAAATTAAAGATTTTTATTTTATTTTGTTTTTAATTAAGATATGATTTTAATTATTTTAATAATTATAAATTTCATCCGCGCCATTTTTATATTAATATTTCCATCTTCTGACGACGTATTTAATTTTGTTTATAAAAAAGTTAACAAATATGTTCAATAACGAAATACAGATAACCCGGTGATTTTACAATAATTTTATCATAATAATTTGCACCTCCATAATTTAAAATCTTTTAACTTTGTATTATTGCAACCTTTAGTTCAATAAATTTATATATATATATATATATATATATATTGTACAACTTTATTATCGATTTCATTCAAATAATATAAAAAAAAAATTACAAAAATCAATTTCACTTATATAGCTACTCTTGGTCAATTATATTTTTATACGTGAAAATATTTTTTAATGCTGCTACAATCTTATCTTCTTTTTATTTAATTTCTCAAAACCGTTGAAATCTCAGATTAATTTGTTACATCGTTAGAATTTAATTATTCACAAATTTTTATTTGATGCGATTTTTTTATAAAACAATTATTTCAAGATATTTTATAATACGTTCTCCTATATATACTATTTACGTTTCAATCTATCAAATATCCTTTACATTCAATAACTTAACAAAAATAACATAACAGAAAAAAGTTAAAAGTATTAATATTCCAATCAGCTTTTTACAATAAAATTAAAAAAAGTTAAGAAATATTTAATACAATCATGAATAAATCATAATAATGAAATATATATTTTTTTATTATTTGAATTAAAATTAATGAATGATTCTACTAAAATTAGTATAAAGTAATTATATAATTGAGGAAGAAATTATAATTATATATTTAAATTAAAGTAACAAATACATTGACACATTAAGATACAAAAAATTCTTGCAAAAACTCTATCTTGTTAATAAATAATACATAGGCATTTTTAATTTTATCTACAATTCATAACTTGTAACATATTTATTTGAATTTAACATTTCAATTTATTTAATGTACAACTTTTTCAACAAATTTTAATAACAAATGTTAATAAATAATTTTATACTAAAAATGTATTAAAAAATTTGTTTGTCTTACTTACTACTTTCTTACTCTTATTATATTCCATGATTAGTAAAAAAATACATAAAAAAAATCCTGATTCTTATATATAATTTTTTAAGTGCTAAAGTTGGTTTACTATTGTATTAACTTGTTAGTAAAAATGAAAATGTTAATATATATTTCTTAAAGCTCGAGAAGACTTATGGCAAAATACACTGGTGGTATTAGTACCCTAATGATAATATTTAAAATGATATTTTTGTTAAATAATTTTACTTAATTATGTTTTATTAAAGTAAATGAATATCAGTTGTCTACTTCTTCCTGATTTACGTGGCAATAAATCACGATTACTTTAACAACAATGAAATAATTATATTTTTTATTAATGATTGTGTTTGTTTTATAATAAGAATATCCTATTTCAAACAATATTTCAAGGCATATATATATATATATTTTTTAATATTATACATTGTTCCCCATTATATTTACTATCAATCACATAAATTAAAATACTATAACAAAATTTTTGTAGTTTACCAAATTTAATTTTCAATGAAGTTTTAAATATTTTTTCAATATTTTATTTCCTATTAAATATTACAGCAAATTGTAAAACAATTTGTTTAAGTTTATATAACATGAAGAGAATAAAAGGAGAATTACAATATAATTTTTCATATTTTATAATGCATCTACTCTACAAAATAACTATTTGGACTATAAAAAATTACACCAAGTAATTTATTTGACAATTTTAATTATGTTCATAACACAAAATATATATTTTAAAAGATATCGTAAATTATAAGTACATTAAAATGAATAATATAATTATCTTGTTTTTTAAATATATAATTATTTACACACACTTAACATTTTATTAGTTAGTATACAGTATTTAGTAAATTATTAATTAATAATAATAATAATATATATATATACATTTAATAATCATACATGTAATGTATAATTTTTCTCATTCATACTATTATTATTCGAAAATATCAAACCTCTTATAACATTTTGCATTATATATTAATATAAATTTTCAACTTGTATATATTTATAAATCTAAATCTATCATATCAAATATAAATATCAAATAAATGATTATACTTTATAAATAACTTGAGCAATTTCTGTTTAAAAATTAAAAAATTAAAAAAAAATAAACCAAATAGCAAAATTGTTGCATCTGTATTAGAAAGCAGATTTGTTTGAAAAAATACTTTATTATTAACGGACTATTTACAATTCATTTGTCTATAACTTATAATTTAAATGGACGTGTTAACCTACAATTGCGTATACTAATATTATTTTGCTTTGCTTAGTACCGACTTACGTAAGCAGAGTCCGTAAGAGTGCGAATGAATGCGAAAGACAGGCGAATCGTGCACAGAGTTTTACAATATAAAACTATATAAAACCATTATCTCATTAATATAAACGTTTAGGAAGCTCCAATTCTGTTGCAATATTAACATGTAGTCGAGTGTAGGAATTTAACTTTTTAAGTATTTCGTTATTTTAATTTATTTATACATTCACAATTAACTCTACATAAATCTACATCTGCAGTTTGACATTATCCCATTTTATACTTACTATTAATCTCAATATGGCCGTGCACAATATCGATGTGAGAATCGTTTTATTAATAATCCATAATTTATAATTCATATTAAAAATTTTTAATATGTATGTTTTAGTCATATTTCAAAACCAAAGCAATGGAATTTCATCAAAATATTTATGATCAAATCAGTGACTGGAATGAGTATGATTTTCGAAATTTTAAATGCCTTAGAAAATATATTTCAATTGTATTTAGTTTGGAAAATTTTGACGAACGTACCTGCAAAATTTTAGATTCTTTCGAAACACCTTTAGACCAAAAAAGCAACAATATAATTGATCGAATTTACAATACCATAGTTACGCCTAATGTTCCATTAATTCAATGCTGTGGATTATATATATTTACATATAATCACAAAGCTGCGGTAGCATGTAAAGATGATAAATTGTGTGACCTCATTGAAACGCATGCAGTAATTAAAGTAAAAAAGGGATATAATTCATCATTATCTGATATAATATATATTGATGAACATGCGAGGATATATGAATCTTGGGATGATTTCATACAAAATAATGAACTGTCACAATGTACTATGTATGTCCCCAAAAATGGTATTTACCAAGCTAACTTAAGAGAAATATGGTCCGAAGACTATTGTCCTGTGTGGATTGAAAAATTTATAAATAACAAAGTATGCAATAATATAGATACAGTATGTAATGTTATCAATATTGGATTGATGGGTGTTGCAATTGCTGCCTCATTTCATCCAATAGGTGCTACAATAAACAGTAGTGGTAAAAAATTAACAAATTTTATTTTATATAATTAAGTAACTAAATCTTATTAAAAATAAATGAGAAAATTTGTATTGATTTAAAAAAAAAAAATTCTATAAATAATAATATGAATTCAGCCTATTATAATTAATTTATTATAAATTCTAATATAATAATTAATTATACTTATTAAGAATAATTCTTAATAAAATCATATGTATATTCATTTTTATTGTACAGTTCAGGTAGGAAAATGCATCAGTACGTTATGGACCAGTGGCAGAGCAGTGCGTAAATTACACGATCGCAGCAAACACTGCCAATCAATAATGCCAACTAATATGGAGACCATCTCAAGTTATCTCGGAATATTAGACAATGTCTGTATAGGTACTTATAATGCTACATCTACAATAATGTCAAAAGCTCTAAACAAGGGTAGAAACGTAGGGAATTCTGTTAAATTTATTCATAATGCAGCTATTATTGGAAATACTGCTTTTAGCACTAGTGGACTAGTAACGAATTCTATGACTTTTGTTAACAATTTTAAAAAATCTAAGAAGGTCCCATTTCAAGATGCATTAGCTTTAGGTATAAACCTTCTATTATTTTATAACTCTATTGTCAGCTTTCAATTTGCATCTGAATTAATTCAATCGAAACAAGATGAAATAATAAATGAATATCAAAAGTCTCTTTGCAAAAAAAAACGCAGAAACCAATTCAAAAGATTAGTAAGAAAAGTAAAACCCAATACAAATAATAATATAAAACAAAACGAACAAATAATTAGATCTGTAAAGAAAGTAAATAATCAGGAGTCATTTTTCAAGTTCCTTATGGGAAATTCATTAGATGCATTATCAAGAAAAGACTCCAATTTCCAAAAAATTTTAGACTTTGCAGAAATGTTAATAGATAATACATCGTTAAACAATGACTTATCGAGAGAAAATAACTCAAATAAGAATAAACCAAGTTCCATAAATTTCTCAAATATAAATATTGAATTAGAATACTTCAGAAACTTGAAAATAATTTTGGCAAGTATAGAGAATTTTAATTGTACAGAAATAATAAGGATTCTTTTGATGAATGGAGCTAGAAAGTTTACAGAGAATAAATCAAAGATTACAGATATAGCTATTGGTTTTATATGGAAATATTTAAAACATAGATTAAAAAAATGGAATGTAACAACTATATCGATAGAATATGAGTCAATAATTAAAAATGTTTTGGCACATATTTATCAATATATTATAAGCACAACTAATGAATGGATTTTGGCGTTTAATCAATATTTAGAAAATAATTTAGATATACCTATAACTGAAAGTACAACAGATTTAAATGCCATTAATTCTACAACATCGCATTTGTTAACAGCTAATCCTGATACAGAATTAGTAACTATTACAGACAAATTGCATGATTCAACTTATCAATGTTATAATTCAATAATGAATGCATTAAAAGTATTTCAATCGCAAATGCTGAATCGAAATTCAATAATCAATGATTGTATGAAAATAATGTACAAAAATGAAGCACACGAATACTTTTTAGCATATCCAGAGAAATATCACATAAATATGAAAAACATAGAGTTCCTATCGGGACTTTTAAACGACATAAAGGATTACAAAGAGAATAATATTATACTTTATAAATTAATATGCATAGCTGTGGCTATATGTGATAATCTAATATATTTCAATTTTGAAGATATTTTAAACTTCGTATGGATTTCGGTGATAATGCAATTCGTTCAACTGAATTCTCAGTCAAAAATCGAGGAAAATATGATTGAAATCGAAATTATGAAAATAATTATAGCAATATATCATGATCAACGTGAAAAACCATCTAAGTGGATAAATAGCTATAATATATATTATGAAATTAAAATCTTGTATTTTGTTAATCATTGAAAAATTCCTATTGAATAGACTGAACTACATTAAAATAATCACCTCATGACTAATTACCAAGCAATTTTAGATTAACTTTTTATAAAACAATATAAATATGATAAAAATGAATTTAAAAGTATTTATATATATAATGTTTAACGTTGAAATAATTATATATAAATTTTTTGATTACGAAGAAATAATTAATATAAAATTTTTTGCCCAAAAATATTTTTAATAAATATTTCTTAAATTTTATACAAAATATTAAATAATTCATTGTTCAATGATTAAATTTTATAAATTTTGCACAAAAATATAAAATAATTTATAGTTCAATTATTAAATTTTATGAATTCATCATAATTACATATTTATAGTATATTATAAGCTTAAATGAAAATCAGTATGAAAAATTTACAATAATTCACATTTATTATATTTGTACTAATAATTTAATATTAACTAATCATATTGACTACTTCATCGTTTATGAACTTCTGTTTTTTGTTTGTGGATTTATGTTATGCTCCTTAGTAAGAAGAGATTCAACTTCTATAGGTGTAATAATAGTTTGCATGGGTATTTCTTTTTTGGGCTTCTCCTTAACAAATTTGAAATTTATAATACTTTCGGAATCTATTAAAATTACAAATATTTTAATTACACATTAATAGGAATATATTTTTTATTTACATTTTTATTAATTTTATCCATACGCTTACCATGTTCACACAGGATTGCTATAACTTCACTTTCGTCTTTCAATATCTTCAAATTATTTAAGTCACCTAATTTTTGTATAGTATTTGTTACCTTGGAATTAAGATTAACAAACCATAAACATTGATTTCGTTCATTAATATCTTTGGAAAGTCTTTCTAAACCCTGTAATAAAAAAAATTATTAGTAATATTTCAAAACTACAGAATATACAATGTAATTAATAAAGTAAACGATAAGTAGCATTTGCAAATATAATGTCTTTTAAAAGATTTATTTAGAAATAATTAAAAAATGTATTATTAAAATATTGCATATTATAAACAAAACTTATTATTTCTAACAGAAAATGTTTTAGTATTTGCTATCATAAGAATGTTGAATTGTATAAATATGATAAATTTATAATTCTATAAATTTAAAATATGTCTTATGGATTTGCTTATATTGACAATAAATTTTTTCATTTTATTACGTAATTTGAAATTAAAATGCATTAAATATCCAATTGTTAAATTTGAAACAAAACTTGCAATAGACGAGTATTTTCAGCAAGTGAAGCGTTTTCTTGCACCATTTATTTATACACATTCAATATTTACTAATTAAGTTCATTAAACATATTAAATATTAATAATCTATTGTCACTTACATTATTGAAAGATTTTTATATGCGTTTCATGTACCGTATCCATACGAAACAAACATCAATTTAGAAATAAAGAGATATAAAAATAAATCTAGTATTTTATTAAAGATTAATTATTTATTTAATAACAAATTGAACATAAATAGAATAAATAATTCAATCACTTATTACAATCACAAAATCTATTAGTTACACGATCGATTAAATCACAAGCACTTAAATGGATTAAGTGAGCCTCCTTCAAAGAATTTTAAAACCTATTACTATCTTTGCTTCATAAAAATGAGCAATCTTAATAAAATAATGTTTTATTTATTATGAAATACATAAATATTAGAAAAGTTTAAATTTATTTATGAAATATTTTTTATTAATAAAATTATTGCAAAAAATATCTAAGTATTCGTCATATTTATAAATGTATTTGCAATTCGTTTGAAAATGTTAATAATGAAAGAAACATTGATTAAGGTACACAGTATAATACAAAATTCTTACGTGTTTTCGCACAGGTTTATTTTACCCAAATAACATTGTAATACTTAATTATAACACAATTAGAAAATTACCTTAATTGCGGTATAATCCACGCCACGGAACCTCTGGCAGTCTACAACTATAGGAATATTGTCAGACGCTCGCTCATCTGCAATTTCCGAAATTTTATTAACTATAAAATCGACAGCTGGAAAGAATAAGCCGACGTCCGGTTGAACTGATAAATATTTGAGTTCTAAAGTAACCTGAAGTAAAAAAAAATTCTTTTGGGATTTCAAATAATGTGTCATGGAACATCTAATACCAATTAATTGCTTCTGCACATACGTATTTTTAAGCTTATTTTTATCTCCTGTTTACACGATATAAAAAATATGAAGAAATAAAACTTTTTAACATACCATTCGCTCGGTTACTTGAATCGCTGGTCTAGCTGACAAATATAATAGATACAGGATATTAAAAACAATTCCAACCAAAAGTCCAGCTTCCACATTCAAGATAATGCAGACGAAAAACGTTCCAATGGACGCTATAGCATCCCTTTCTAAGACAAAACAAATTAATTAAAGTCCATATTCGAATGAAAAGTATAATAGAAAGTATAAAATAGAAATATTAAATGGGTTTTTGGAATTTTTCATTTTCTCTAGATAATGGTAAATAAATTTAATCCTTATGAAACTAATGCAAACAAAACTATATTGATTGCATAACCGTCATGTATACTTACTGCTTCCTCGCCAAAGTTGTTGAACTATTTTCCAATCAATTAAGAAAATTACAGCACTTATAAGGACGGCTGATAAAACTGTTTTTGGAATATAATAAAAGTAGGGTGTTAGAAAGCTCAATGCCAACATCGTCAGAATTCCTATAAAATAAAATAAGTAAAAAAAATACAAAAAATAGATATTATATTATAATTTTATAAGTTAATCTACAATCTACAACGAATGACTACGAATTAAGCATTTCTGTTGAAAATATTAGTTCAATTATTTTAATGTATTGCATTGAATTTTCATTTACGATAAATAAAATATTTACGATCGATTAACTGGGTATGACGAAGAAATAAGCAAGTACAATATCCATGCACAATGTTTTAAAATTAAATTTTTTTGATGAAGCTAAGAGATATTCAAATAATTAAATCGTGTATTATTACATAAATTATAAATATGATACAATGCAAATTATATGATATAAATAAAAAAGTAATTGCTCTAATAAAATATATTAAAATCGGCAATAAATATTCCTTAGACACTATGCTACTTTCTAAAACTAACCAATAATACTATATGATGTACATTATTTTCTTAAATTTATCATATTTATTTTATATTTATAGGACGTTGTAGTACTGAAATTTAAGAATTTTTACGTATATTTTGTATGGAGTTAATTAATTAAGTTTTGATTTGACTCTTGATTTGAAAAAATAAGATAATCTAGATATATAAGAAACGCAAGGATAACAATATTTTAGTACTTTTTTTACTTTCAAAGGAAAGAAAGCAACAATGATTACTCGTTATAATCTTATTATATAGCATTGTAATACCAGAAATATAAGATACTTTCATTATATTTTAATAATGGATCTGAATGAAATACCTTTTCTCTTTTATTTCTTAAGATATTGGTTTAAAGCAACAGTTATTAGCAATGTTGAAAATTATCCGATCGATAAAAACATGTCAAACGCGTAGCTGCAACAAAAATACATTTATAATATGTATGTTCTATTATAATATGTGTATTTATTATAAAAATATTATTGAAAAAATATTTTTAATTTCTTTTTAATAAACATTCTTCGATTTGATTCCTTTCATCAATATTATACGCTAAAATTATAAATCATCTATATATTACATAATGTTTAAATTGTAAGGCTCGTTTGATAATGCATGTTATGTCGATTTAACGCAAAGTATAATTTTATAAAAACCTCTTGTTTCTATTAAATTCGCGATCACAAGTACATTGAGAAAGCCTCGCATGAAAAAAAATTATATCAAGCTAATGTCATTCATAGGTCTTAATTATGTAGCACTATATTAGTGAAGACATAATTTAAATAATTAAAAATAGATAATTCAGTCAGGAGCACATTGACGATATTCCCATAAATATGATGAAAAGTAAGTATTATACATTTACGCGCAAATATTGTAATAAAATATTCATACCGGAGTAAATGCCAGCCATAGGCGTTTGAATACCACTTGCATGGCTGACTGCACTACGCGTAAAAGCTCCACAAATCGGCATGGAGCTTACGAAGCTTCCCAACAAGTTGCACAGTCCCAATGTGCGCATTTCCTGGGAGGCATTAAACCCTGAGCCGCTAGCTAAAATTAAAATTACTCATTTAGTCTTGTAGATCTCTTTGACATTGAAATTCTATTTAGTAGAAAAATCGTTTAATAAAAGTTTATTTTAATAAAGGCTACTTATAATTATCCAATAATTTTTAATTTTTAATTCAAATAGGTCAAATTTCTATTTTATACTTTGCTTTATTTCCAGATCCATGTAAATGCATCTTAATTACAATGTAATTGAATAAATTAATTATTATTCCTAATTATATTAATATCTAACATTCGACTGTCATAATTGACTAATTAGCTATAACATTGATACGTATTAAATTATAAAATATAACAGTACTGTTATTTATTACAAATTTGGACATTAAATCCAAACACAGATGTTAGGAATCACAGATTTATAAAAACAATAACTATTTAAAGTATAAAATTTGAAGTTCAAAATACTTACAAAAAACCTTAGCAATCGCGACATTAGCGAGAACAGAGACGAGTGGTATTACAATTATACCTGATCCTAAATGAGAACATATATCCATAAAGCTATACGTTTGATTTTGTACGACAGTAGTGAAATTTGGAAGCTTAATACTTGGAAGTCCCGATTGCACGGTACCTATAAATTATATATTTATTACTTTGAGAAGAAAATAGAACTGGAACAAGGAAAAGCAACAAATACTGACTTAATAATTAATTGTCTCTTAAACAAATAACTATGTAAATAATACGTCTTTGATAATCGTGCCAACAACTCTTATCAATATGATAGACACCATTACTTTTAACTAATTTTAATTTTCAAGAATTAATCTATAATTATTTTGTTTATTTTTAATATTCTACATGAGCGTATTTGTCCTTTAAAAATTATCTGCATACTTTTATTGATGATTTAAAATTATAATTCTAAAAGTACGGCATCACATAAACTTTGTTTATAATATTATTATTACAACTCAATACAGAATTTAATGTTCTGATAGTTTCATTAAATTGTTTAATATACTGAATGAAATGTATTCCTCGTATTTTTCTTTATGCAAAATTTGCATGTTACATGCAAGTTTGCGTATGCATGAATATATATATATATATATATATATATATAATATTTAAAAGGAATAGTTACTTCCTTGATATCAGACCTGAAAGTACGAATGGCGTTTGTCCGGCTTGATGAAGATAAAAAGTAATTACGGAGCTTATCAAAACAATGAGAGCATTACGGCCAACGGAAAAGAACCAAAGTGCCTTTATCACGATGACGTGGCGAAGTCCATCATTTGTGAATTTCACATTACTTAAATTCTGTAGACATTAAATAAGGACAATAAATAATGACTTAAGAAATTGATGAATATTAGTTTAATTTTGATATTATTAATATTAATTGCTAATTTACCATTATAAAATGTACATATTGTAATGAAAAATTGTTTGTAAAAAATTATAATATGAAAATTATAATACTGCAATACTGCAACATTGTAATGTTAGAATATATACTACTATTCTATACGACAATTATACTGTAAAACGTTAAATGATTTAGCATTAAAATTATATTTATTAATGAATTGAATAAAGTAAAAGAAAACGCTTGATTACTTGTAAGATTACAATAGCATTTATGAATTGTGTATACTTATATTCATGCAACTTTCCAGTATATAATTAAAATATTTGGGTTTTTCTTATATATAATCTATTTATTATAAATATATAAATTATTTGGAAAGAAATTATATTTAATAGATAAGTAATTTTCGATTTAATTAAACGTTTGTAATTATATTTGTGTTTATAATTTGTAATTGTTGCATTTTACTATTAAATATTGTTTATAATATTCAAAAACTTTTAAATAATTTTCTCAATGAAATTTATAATAAAAAAAATCTTATTTGTATTATTTTATTAAATCTAATTTAAAATATAAGAACAACAAGTACAAATACATGCATGGAACGTCAATATATATTCGCGACATATTATTTACTCATACGAATAGATTATAAATTTAAAGATATTTAACAAACAATACTTTTTATAACTATGTTGTTATACAAATTTCTGTGTAATTGTAAGATGTAACTGTGCGTTTGAAATTATAAAAACATATAGCTCAATATTTCAAATTAAACAGTATTTTTTGTTTTTCTTAATTTATAAGTAATCATACATACTTTAAGACAGAGTAATATTAGAATAGTTGAAACTCCTAAGAGTGTATCTCCAAGTTTCACATTCATTAGATTTTGACAAATTTTAACCATCTGGTCAATCAAATTAGCAGATTGAAACTTCAGACCTAAGAGACCTTTTATTTGTGATACAATAATAATGACGGATGTAGCAGAAGTAAAGCCAGCTGTAACTGGTAGTGATATAAAATCCACGAGAAATCCTAATTTTAAGGAGAAAAAATTTAATTATATTGTATGTATTAAGTATATATATATATATATATATATATATATATATATATATATATATATATATAATATAAATATAATATACATATTTCATAATATTTTTAAGAGTAAAATTAGATTAATAATAATAGTATATAACATTTTTAATGTGCTCACTGTATGATGCATTAAACACTTAATAATTACTTATAACTAACATTTTATGATATCAATTATATTTATAAAGTAACTACATAAATAGTAAATTAGTGTATGACTATATGATAGTATTTTTAACTTAATTTTTCTATTATTTATATAAATTTATACTTAATTTTTAAATAAAATTTTAAATAAATATGCCTTGACGATTAAAGTTTCACTTTGGCTAAAAATAGCATTTTAAGATATTTTATTTTTAATTTAATTTTCGATTAAATTACATGTGTAAATAGATGAGCAATATTTTTTTAAAATATAAGATAAGCACTTAAAAAATACATTGAAAGCGAATATTTTCAATTTCGTTAAGTAAAAATTTTTAAAAACTGTCCCTACTGTTATTTCTTCTGTTGGGTTAATTATTATTCATTGTTATATTATATTGTCTTTTCAAACTCATTCAAAATCATATCAAACTATACTTAGCCTAGAGTAATTATTACAAATTAACATAATGTGAAAATTATATGAATTTTATATTTTACAAAATGAAAAATTATATTAAATGAATAATTATAAAAATATTCAAACTTTACCTAAATCCAACAAACCCATTAGAAATTCAACACAGCCGGCCAGAAAAGCGAGAAGAATGGCAAAGTCCGGATTCGTGCCTTTCGTGAATTCCATTGTTAAAATAGCCATGAGCGAAGTCGGGCCTATCGAAATCTCTTTAACCGATCCGAAAATTGCATAAAGAAATCCACCAAGGAATGATGAGTAGAGGCCGTACTATACACGTTAATAAATTAATCTAATTCAATTATATTTTATGTTAAAAATATCAGTCTTTTCAGTTTTGTACTTATTTTTTTAAAAAATTTTGAAAATTGCAATTGAATATTAATAATTAAATGTATGTTCGTTAATGGCTCAAAGTCTCTATAATGTGCTCGATTAAATTCTGCACATATGATTATTTGAAATTATTTTAATATAGATTTAATACAGATTATAATAATGATATAAATTGTTATATGCAATATTATATTATAAATTAATAAATAAATACCTATATAAGTTAATATTATTGATGTTGTTGAATATTTTAATTTAGTCATTTTCATTAAAATCTTCTTTGTTTTTTTTTATTAATAAACATAAAAATTTTAAAGAATTCTACAAACTTCTTATAATTATAACAAGAAATTATATTTTCTAAATTATTATTTAAAATTTATATACGATCAACATCTTCCAACATTCAATTGAGAGGGTTGGTAACATTACTTTACAATCCTTAAGAGATATTATTCTCTTTAGGTACAATTCAAACTACAATAAATCAAATTATATACGAATGATCACGTTAGTTTTTACTATATTAATTATGAATAACATACTTGTGCCGATAGTCCAGCTAAAGTAGCATAGGCGATACTCTGAGGAATCATCGTGAGTCCCAGTGTGATACCAGCAATAGCATCCGAAATCGCTTGGTACTTACTGTACTTTGGTAACCACTTACAAATCGGTGCATATTTACTAATTTTTATTTTTCCCCTCTTTTTAATATTGCCTTGCTTCTGCGACTTGGCTTCCCTTGTCATTACTAAACAAATCATTTTATTTCTTAAAACAACAATAATCTATATATAATGTGTGCGTGTTTATACGCATAACTATGAATATGTATATATATATATATATATATATATATATGCATTCAATTTAAATATCATTCCTAGTTAATGTACGTTCATAGTTCGTTAAGATGTATGTATATATGTATGGAATGAAGGTTTCTCATAGAACTATGCTGTACCTAACATTGACTGTCTTAAAAGTCATAAAGTTTAACATTATGGTTCAAACAATTTTGTTGCCTCTGTATTTTTACATAAATTCTGTCTTTAGTTTTATTTGTATTTAAATATTATATTTTTAAAATATTTTAATATATATATATATATATATATAAATTAAATGTCAATATGGACAATAAAAAAATTAATGAAACTCATGAAAGCAAAACGATCACGTCAAAATAATCAAAAGTAACATTTTAAGAATTAAACAAAAAAAAATGTAATGAACGCATACATACGCATAAAATAAACACAACCTTTACAGGTAGTACGTTTTTATTAACTTATGTATTGAGAAAATAAATTAAATGAATTATTATAACATATTATTTCTCGACGGTAAAATACTATTCTAATTATGAAAACATTCCTTTTCTAAATATTTCCTAAATATTCGAAAGCGATATACAAACTCATACTAACATAAAAACGTTTATATCTATTGGAATTTATTCACGGTAAGAAGATAAAATATTACCTTTTTAATTTATCTTTACATTGATATTATACTTTAATTATTTTTCATTGAAAATGCAGATTTAAAAAAAATTATTTAATCAATGATTAACTTATCACGGTTCTTCAAACATCTTTCATATTTTTTTTCAAATTTCTAGATCTACAAAGATCGTTTAAACAGATCAAACTTTAAATTTATTACATTAGTTAAAGTTAAATGCCTAGCAATCAACAGAAATCCTAATTTATATTTTCTATATTTAAAGTACTACACATACATACACACACACACACACACACACACACACACACATATATATATATATATATATATATATACATATATATTAGGCACTTTTAAGGAAAATTTATTATAGCGTCATAATCAAGTATGTAAAACTTTTCCATAATACTTTCTCAAACATACAATAAAATAACATAAATCAATAATAATTTAATTAGTCTATAACAAATATACTAAATACATATTCAATGAGAATAAAATACAATAAGAGAAGTTCTATTGGCAAAATATTCTGTAAAGAAATTTTAAATAATATATTACGTTAGTAAACAAATTTTTATCAGTTTTTAAGCACAATAAAAATTTTTTTTCTAAAGTCATAAATTGCAATCAATTTTTTTACAAAATAATATTTAAAAAAAAAAGTTTTTATTTCAAAAAAATAAAATTTAAAAATATTTCTAATAGAATGAAATCTTATGCGAAGACTTGAAAATATCAATTACACTAATATTAAATTATAATTGTTATACAATGTTTTATACACTAATAAAATGTAATTTAAATCTAATTAAAAACTATTCTATTCTTAAATTTTCACTTAAATCAAATCAATATTGATTCCTTCGAAAATAATTTAGATGCTTCAAAAAATAACATCCGAGATTAAAATTTCCTAGACTAAAATAATTGTTGCTCTAATCTTTCACATAAAGCAATCGCTTTCATTTAATTACTATTTAAAAAATCATTTATGACAGATACATTAGAAATGAAATTCTTAAGGTGTGTGATGAAATATCACTGTAAGAAAACATATCAAGTTTAAACTCTGAATTATTCACGCATATTAGAAAAAAATCTTTGTTAATCAAGATCCGTGCTGCAACATATAAATAACAATAAATTTGTTAACTATTTAGAAAGGAAGTTGATTAAATTTAAATTTCACGAGTAAGAAACAAAATTAATTAATAACGCAATTACCGATTCATAGATCCTTCTTAAAAGGACCTTACATTTAGTGCTTCGCATAGAAAGCTAACAAATTGATAAAAAATAATGTCGCACTGAAAACTTACTCTATAGTATTCGTTTACTTTGTTGTCGCACTCATCGTGCCGGTTCCTCGTTACTCAAAAGACTCCACCGCGACCTTAGCCTCCTGGTGATACAAACCTAGTATCTTTTTTCTACCCACTCCATTACAATTATCTCTCTCTCTCTTTCTCTCTCCCTCCCTCGCTCCCTCTCTTATCTATCTATCTCAATATCTCTCCAGCTTACTCTATTTCACTTCATGTTCGCCCCTCCCCCCCTTATCAATCGTCAGCTTAAATATTCTCGAGACATAATTGTATGTCGTAATAATACATTACGCTTGACGTGCTTCTTCCGAATAACGAGTACATATTGACATACTCGCGAGCTTATGCAGATAAGACAGAGAGCTTCGCACGCGTTGCAATAATTCGGTTGCCGAGAGCCTGTTTCAACGAGGCCGACATTCGGTTACACGAGTTTTTATGTAGGTGGAATGAAATAAACGTTCTTGCATTAAGCTTCATTCCGAATGATTACTGACTGCTTAGAAGTAATATTACCGAATATGTAGGTATGATAAACAAGTCAATGCCTATGTTGGTGGAATCTTCACAATTCCGTGATGAACATGTATAATTTAATAAACATTGCATTAGAACTTTATATGCATATAACTTTTGGATTTTAACTAGATAAAAATTAATTTTGTCTATGGTGTTGAAATATTCTGACTCGTAATACACAAATTCCTTAAGGCTTATAAATAAAGTTATTTAAAGAGCTCGAAAAAAATCTTGTAAAAATGTGATATAATTTAAAAGCAAACTTAACTTCTTCATAATTGCATCATTTATATGGTTTTATATAGACATTTATTATATATTTACAATTATATATTTGTATAGATTATACATTTACAAACTTTAATATATAAGAAGTAATAATTATTATATTCATTGCTGATTGCTATCATTTCTTATTTGGAAACAATACTAGCATGTTTAATAAATTACTTTATAAACAAAAATATATTTTTTCTAATGGTGATCATAACTTAACTTGAAAATTTCATTGCTACTTGTTTAATAAAAATCTCTAATAAATATAATACATAGCTTTATTTTGTTCAATTTATATTTAGATCATGCATTATCTTAAGCAGAAATATTATATTAAAAATAAAAGACGGAAATCTTACAAATTTGAAGTGTAACTACATTTTATTATTCATCTAGATCGAGAGAACAAATAGTCTAACGAATACAATATAATAAATTAAATATTATTATAATTATATTGAAGATCTCTTTCAACGTTATTTTTATTAAGATATCATTGATTTAAAACAAATTTTGTAAAACATTAAAGTAAAATATTTTTTAAATTTCAAATGCAAAATGTCAAAAATTTAATTAAATTAATTAATTGAAATAAAAATAAGAAAAAATATAACGAATGTGTAATAATTGATAAGAATACAGCATATTAATTATGAAATTTAGACGATTTAGGCATAATACATTATATATATTTTTTACAATTTTTATAAAAACTACATTAAATGTATTTATACAATAAATGATTTAAAAAACGTCATTTCGTATATATAACCGAATATCTAATGAAATTATAAGAATTAATACGAGATTTAATTAGAAATTAATGGTTCCCTATCGTCTGTGAATCTGTCATAATAATTACATTAATTTTACTTTAAGATTTAATTATATTAACTGTTAATATTCATAAACAAATAAATAAGAAACTTAGAATATAATAAATTTATATAAAATTGTCTAACAAACAAATAATTATACCGACAAGTATGAAACGATAAAACGATAAAATTGTTATAATTAATTAGTATTAATTATTAAGTAGTATTAATTCTGAATATTAGTTGAAATAAAAATATTTTTCATTTTTACTAAATGTATTTTAATGATATATGAATATTCTTTCATAAATAAAATTTTTTTCAATTTTATAGATTTTAAAATAAAACAACCATATAATATATAGACAAAGATTATTTTATTTATACTTAGTTTATACAGTAAGAAAAGTTAAACATACTCTGAATATATAAATAAAATATATACGTACAATGAATATTAATCAAATAAATTAATATTTGTACTGCATTGTATTTCAAAAAATTAAAACAATAAAAAATTAACAACATATATTTAAAAAAAGAAATTTAGTAAACAATAAATATAAAATAAGATTCGGCAACGAAGAATTATTTATAAATAAATAGTGTAATTATTAATTAATTAATTTGAATAATCTTTATTCATAATATTAATTAGATCTTCGATAAATCTGACCTGATGAACAGTAATACGCATCAACAATTCTTAAGTAGTATAATACATTTTTATACAATGCAAACATACTTCTGAAAAAAAAGGTTAACTGTACTCGTCATCGTAATTTAATTGGTTGATAGGATCATTGCCAATTTTATAATAAGATAAATATGAATAAACATAACGATTTTTACAAAACAATACTTTATAAAATTTTCAATAATTAGTATTGGTAAACAATCTCTATAATAAATGTAGTCAAAACAATGTATAACGTAAAACGAGTACAAAAAAGTAATATTCAATAATAGACAACACCTTTATTGTAGATATATATATATATATATATATATATATATATAACTACGCAGTGTGTCAAATATCCCCGGTCACTGGCTTTTTCTTTATTGAAAGTGTTTTCTTCTATTTTAAGTTTTTATTACTAATTTTATTAAGATTTTATTCATAAAAAAACTATATATACCTTTGGAAGTAAATGTTAAGTCATAATAATCCAGATTGACCATACATATATTACAAAATAATTAACATGCTAGGTTGATGCGCAGTTAATTAATCTATAACTTACTACCGTTTAGCCTTGTAAAATGCAAACTCTTTTTTAATAATGTGTCAATGTCGATTAAATACCCGAGCTCTACTTTGATACCATTTTCTGTCTGATTATTTAATCATGTATGACTTGAGACTATCTGTTACACACGCTTAATGATAGTTGATAAAAGAGTAAGTAAAATCTATGAATACCGAAGTAAACAAAATTAACATTATAAACATACGCTACTTTGACGAGTGAAAATTATATTAAGTGTAATAAATAATTATTTATAAATGTAAACAATTCAGCATACGTTATAATGTAATCTTATAGGCATCTTCGTCAAATAAAATACCACTACTTCGGTAACATTGCAAGAATTCCTGCATAAGCCAGTACTCAGATTTTATCTGAGTATATCATAATTTAATTACGTAATTGTATTTGTATTAATATTCTAGTTTTTAATTAATTGCTAATTGTAAATATTTTATTAAAAAAATATTCTTGTATAATAATACGTAAGTGCTTGTTTATGAATAAAATTAGTTTATTTAATGTCATACATTTAATTTTTTTTTTCCTAATATTTTATAAATTAATATGAAATAAGTTTATTTGCTAAAATTTATAACGCAAAATATTTTATGAATGTATCCCAGATATCAAATTTTCCTCACTTTCTTTTATTTATTTACTGATTACAATTTCAAAGTGAAAAGAATTGGCGGAATAACATCTCCGTTCACAGGTGAGATTTTAATAGTTTGTTATCCCTTTCACAACTACTTATATAAAAATAGAATCTGTTTGAAAAATTCAATTTAAAGAATAATTTTAAAAATTTCAATTGATAAATATGACTTTATTCATAAAAAAAACATTCATATAGATTCTTACTTTAATACTCTAAAATTTATTTAAAAAACAGTAGAAAAAAGAAAAAAAAAATCTTGAATTTTGAAAAAAAAAATGAAACTAATCATTTTTAGAAATAACACTGAACGTAATTGTATCTCTTTCAACGATTTATTATGAATAAAAATTTTAATAAAAAGTTTAATCTAATAAAAGAATCATCAAATATCTAGGATATCTTCATTATTAATAATATATCATCACATAAATGATTCATTTTTCTAATAAAAGAATATTTGCTTTTGTTGCAAAAAAATAGCTTTCATTTAGTGAAGTACATTAACGTTCACAATAAATCAAAAGGCTCTAACATACTAAGCAATACTAATGAAAAAAATCTACACTCGGTTATGTCAAGTTGTAATTTAAATTTAAATTATAGAAAGAATTGTTTTTGAAGGTACGATATTTATTCGATTATTATTATTATAAACTATGCGATAAAATATTAATCTATATAAAAGAAACCAAACATTGCTCTTTATCATCAAAAATTATAGTAATTGATTAAAAAATTTTCTACAAGCACATCATACTCTTTTCATCATCAACAATAATTTTCAGAGCACCATAATAAATTCTCTGCCTAAAAAAGAAGACCTTTTTTCACCGATTCCATAAATTACTTGATTTCACAAATTTTTACAACGATAATTCATTCGATCGCTTGAACTTATTATTTCTTTTTAATGATTATTTTTCTCTCGCGATGGGTGCCATCACAAATGGAAAATTTTTTCAAGCATTAAGCATAAACTGATTGCCATTCTGAGTTCACTACTCCCTTCACGATATACCTTATTTATAAATAAAAAGCTGGTGAGAAACTATGAGCTGATAAAGAGGATCGCAACTATTAAACGCGGAGCTTCTTGTTGATCTCGTCGATGAGCTCGTCGATCCTTTGCGAGCAGCCACGGAATTTCGCTGGCTCGGGACCAATCATTTGTATAAGCTGTGGCACTTCCTGTCCGCTTATTTGCGTGAAACGCGCCAAGGATTTCATACAGGAGTAAAGTTGCTCCTCTGCGAGACTACTTTTGAAGTATTGGAGTAATGCCATCGTTAACTCCACGGCTACGTCATCGAAAACCTAAAAATATCACGATCCTCATTAAGCTTACTAAGTTATTCTTTTTATTTAAATTATTCCTTGTATTTGAAAAATATATTCTGCTCTATTATATTCTCAATTTTTACGGGGCTCGATTCTTACATAATTCGTCAAAACCATATATACTTTTTAAGACACTTCCTATTATTTATAGTTTTCTATATTCCATCTACAGATGTAAAAAAAAAATAGTTACTTTCATTGTCTTCTTTTAACAAATATATACACGAAAATTTCCTTTCATAACAATTGCAAATAATTATAAGAAAATAATTTTTATATTATTTTCTATTTGTGTATTGCAAATGCTATGCTTTATTAATACTATTTTATTATAAGCGTATGTTTTTTGCATTTGCAATATATAACTTACAATTATAAATTTCTTTTTATAAATTATATATAAATTAAGAAGTTTTTAAATATAACTTTGATAATATAGATTTTTAATTTATAGTCGAACATCCAATAATTTAATCAAAATATGCGCATTAAAAGCCAAAAATGCATAAATAATTAATCGATAAACATATACCGATAAAAGTTAAGCCTCTTTCTGTTTAAACATATAATAATTGATTTATATATAGAAAAAACGAATAATATCTGAATTTATCTAAATATAAGTTCTTATCAACTATATGTCTATAAACTATATTAAAATATGCATCTATAAATTATTATCATTGTAGATATTTACATTTAATTAATGTTTAATCATCATAATCGCGTATTTTATTAGACAACTAAAATTACTGAAAAATTTAATTTTTTCATTTATTTATAATCATTATCCAAGTTCATTATTTCAACGGTACGTACATAATGTAATTTGCATTTAAAAAAAAACTAGTCTTCTTGAATATATATGAATTATAATGACTTCTAGATTTTACATACATTATATATATTATATATACATATAATGAACTTCAGAGAGTCATAAAACTTATAAGTTACATTAAACAGTATAATTTAAAAATTTAATAAATAACTACATTGTTTACCAATAATATAAATAGTCAGTACACAATTAAATGATTGTTAACATCTACCCTAAAAAAGAGCGGGAAAGTACCTTGGAAATACTGCCTTTTGGTAAAAGCTGCCGAAGACTTTTGATTTTGCTCATTTTCTGAAAAGATAAATCGGAGCAATCTCCTAAAGAAGTATCTGCTAATTCACTTTTTAAAACAATGAGTCAATATTCGTTCAATTAAATGATGAAAATTTAAGGGTAGTGCCACTCTAGAATGTTCAAAAAATCAATGTTTCGTATTTCCGTCAAACTGATGGTCTTAATAAATTTTAAAAGTGCATTAAAGAAAAAGAATTTTTTTCAAGTTTTAATTACAAGAATATTAGCAATCTGATACTGTCAAAATCTAAAGTATTTATAATGCAGCGTGTCTCGTACTTAAAAGGCGAAATAAAAAAATTATATCTTTATAAAACATACATAATAAACAATTTGTCGATGTTGAATAGTTTTTAAAATACAATTTTTTATAAAAATCTTTAACAACTTTACAAAGTTAAAATAAAAAAATGTCTCCAACACATTAAAAGATGGAGGTGCGAATTCTTAAAATTTGAAAACAAAAGTTAAAGAGAAATTAACCCTAACAATCAATGTTATTGATTTTTGTTATTTATTTACCCTAATTATTAATTTATCTAAAGAGCAATTAATTGATGAAATAACTAAAATGTAGATAGTTAGATTTTGTAATTGTCGATGAATGGAAAGCCATAATATGAAAGTAGCCGCCCGATTAAAACTTTTTTAATAAAATAATAAGCGATAACAGTAATTTGAATTATTACTTATGTGATAACGTAGAAATCAGTAAATCATACGTTAATGCAAATATTTGGTCCATCGCGTCAAAAATAATATCTTACAGATATAATATAGACATTCGGTAGGATACATTAGTGCTGGTATATTTAAAAATGAATTTTTAAATAAACATGCATTTTAAGAATATTTACAACATCACGATAAGACCAAAATTCTTAACATTCTTATGAGCAAACTGTCTTGTGATTTTCAACTGTGTACAAGGGTCGCAACACGATGTCAATTATAAATAAAATAAGCTAAAACAGAAATAGAAGTAAGAATATAATTAGGAAATCAAATATGTTGTAGATATTGCAAACTAAATTTAACTAATACTTTTATGTAAGATGTAAATTATTCTTTTTTTATTTACAGACTTTTGTTTATGAATCTTTAATTGAAAATTAAAATTAGTATTTAAGGCAATATTCTAAAAGCGTAAAATTTATTATTCGCATTATTTAAGTGTGTGCCATATTATGCAAGTAATGAATTTTATTGTTTTTTTCTTCTATATAAATTATAAAATATTTTCAGTCCCAGAATACCTTGTACTTGAGTGCTCATTTATAAACAAATTATTAATCTACTATTTTAGATACTTTTATAAATATATATATAATAATATACCAAAAAGATTCATTCCTTTTGATTTTTACAATATAAAAAAAAATTTTTAAATTAGACAATTTTTAAGTCGCTAAAGTGACATTACCCTTTGTGAAAAAAGAAATTGAAGTTTGTTATTTTAGCTTTAGCAGTTGAATTTTCAATTCAAATATTGAAATTATAATTCATATTAAAAAAGTAAAGAAAATATTAATAACATTTAAATAGTTGAAAACAATTGTAAAAATAACGTGTAATATTTGTAAGTAATATTGTGTTAAGTAAAACTTCTAATTAAATTGATGTATCTATGTAAATTGCAAATTATTATTTTTACTTTGTATACATAATTATTATAGGCCAACGTAAAATTATGTCAAGCATTATTTCATAAGGAGGTAAACTAATTAATATAATTTATATTAAATCTAATATCTGAACTCTCAATCGATTAAGTTAAAGAATTCTGTTTCATGTATAATCTGACTATGAAATGCATTGTTTGGGTGTATTATATATAAAAACATAAGAAGCTAAATTAATTTCAATTATTAAACATCATTATTATATAATATAATATAATTTATGGATTATAAAATAACACATATATCTTAGTATTTCGTGCAAACAATCGTCGATTGAATTATCTCTATACTCACACATCCCTACATACACGCGCAGACTAATAAAGACACTAATGTCACATGCATGCATAAACATATACACGCATATAGATAAATAGCACATACATAATACATGCATACATGCGCACATGTATACAATAATTTCATCACATATATGTTACAGTAGTTTAAAGAACACTTAAATTAGAGATAAATACATCAGTTATAAAGGCAGCATTTCTAATAATATAAGTTTTATGATTAGTTGTCTAATCATAATAATAGTAAATTCTAAAACATCGATAAAAAATCTAAAATATCACTATTTTAAAATATACGTTCCGATGAAATAGATGAGCTTTTAAATATAATATTTTCTTTGAAAAATAATATATATATAAAATCATTCAGCAGATATTATTTTAATCAACACAAAAAATTATATATTGAAATATGACTAAGTTCTAAACATACAACTGTTAGGCTTTACAATTATAAACTAAAATAATAAACTGTTTTTGGTACAATGCTTTAAGATTCTGCTATCTTTTTTGCCCTTATTAAAGCACTTTATTATAAATTTTTACATAGTTATATATATATCGATAGATTGATTCAAAAACTTTGAAAAACTTTAACATAATTGAATACAAGACTCACAACACTTGAAGCAGTACCGTCACATTTTATGGTTTAATCTATATCCAAATAAAACATTTTTTCGTATAAATAAATCATTTAATTTCTTACTCAACCAATAATTATAATTTATAAAAAGAATATTTCTAGATTGACCAGTCTGCCGTACTTATTGAACAACAATAATATCGTAACTTTTATATACGATATATAAACCGAATATTGTAACTTTCCAATTTCATAGCTAAAATTCGTAAACCATTTACCTAACATTTAATATTCGTTATTTATTTTTTACGATTTGCAAAGCCATGTTACATACTTAATTTTATTCGTACTTTTTAAAATGAAGAGAAGAACTATTAGTTAGTAGCTTACACCTACCGCGGAGAAAAGGGGGGAGAGTGAGAGGAAGATGGGGGAGAACGAGAGAGAGAAAGAGAGAGAGAGAGAGAGAGAGAGAGAGAAGATACAGACCACAGTTTTTACCTCCTTGCATGCAAGATTATGGATTATGGCGCTGCCACGCATTTGCAGATCCTCACAATCTGACAGAAGCGAATGGACGGCCACCTTAGTTGTCACTCGGATGTTGCTGATTCCCTGGTTTTTGTGCTGCCACTCCGAAATATACATCAACCATTCCGAACTACTGAGGTTGTCGAACAAATTTGCGATCTGGTTAAAATTGAAATAATTATTAATTGTTATCCGTAGCCTCTTAATTTAGATACACGCCCTGATACAATCATACAATGCAAATAGTAAATACAACATTTAAATATTTAAAACCGATACGTGATTATCGATATTATTAATATTAAATATGAAAACAAAAGAATCAAACCGATTTTGTAGAACATTTTGCAGCTTTTATAACATTACATTGATTTGCTCATTTTTATTAATTGTTTAATTATAATGAACTTTTAAGTATCTAAAAATATATAGAATTTAACCAAATTTTTTATTTATTTAAATTTTAGCATTATGGATGCAAACAAAATATACATTTATTAGAACAATAACTTAAATCAATAATTGAAAATAACTTCAACTGTAGAAATTATATTTCTATATGAGAAAATTTTCAAATTTTCTTTCTGTAACATAATTTCATCTAGTATAATAGGAAAAAATAATAAATTATAAGTAAATTTTTATTTTTAATGAGTGTAGAAATTTTACAATAACCGAATAAAAATTTTTGTCTTATTTCATATTTACCTACAGTTTCTTTCATTTAATCGCTTATTATAAATGTATAATTTTTTCTAATCTCTTACGAATTGAGCAAGCGGCAACTGCTCTTCTACAGGATGACGATCGATGTCGTATGCAAAATTCATTATAGTATGATCTTTTCTGTCTTGGTGAAGCAATAAAATAACATCGTCCTTCAATGCAGCAATGGCTAAGATATTAAGCAAACACACTCGAGCTGCACTGTCAAGAGACTTATCGTAGAACACTCTTCCTATAAGAAAATTTCAATTATAAGTCGAATAATATTATGATTTATTTAAGTTATATAACCCATAAACTCGAAACATCCGAACTAATTATATATTTATCTACTGTATATGAATTTGTTACAAATTGTTAATTATTAAAACAAAAATAAGTCTGTAACTCATTTATATTCACTTTCTCATTTGATTTCATTAATTTAATGAATATGTAAAATGAATATTTGTAATGTTCGATAAAGTTATTGTTTATAAAAATAAAGACAAATTGAATTATAGCATATTAATTTCTGTTATGTTATAATTGATTAAAATTGCTATTATAATTGAAATAAAAATTTTCAACGGACCTCGTAACTATATTAATTGAATAAAAAGTAAATTTGTAGATTACAAGGAAAGAATAATACCTCTTTTATTATTTATTAATGTAATACATATGTTAATCACGTTATTTAGATCATTTGCTGATTCTAATAACAAATCTTGAAACTACTAATAAATAACATTGTCAAGTCAATAAACATACGAAAATAATAAAGATTTGAATGTACTTCTAAATAATGCTCGATTTTAATGTAAACACAACTACTTTTTCAATAAGGAATATAAGGAAAAATAAGGTAATAATATGGAAAACAATAAGCTTACCAACGAAATTAAGAAAGTTGTCGCCAAGAGCCCATGAGCCTTCGTTCTCCAGAACGTACTGATGCAACTCATCGATACTCAACATTTCACTATCATTGAGCTTACTTTGCAACAGGATTCTCAATGACTCAAACTCTGCTTTAGCATCTTTAATATCTCTAAAAACTATCGGCGGATCTCGCTGCCGCTTTATCTCCTCGACCTCCCGTTTTTCCTCAGCCTCCATCTGCAGAATCCTCTCGGATGGGAGCACTTCCGCACCGTCACCATTTGCATGGCTCGGCGGCTCTACCAAGGTACCTGCAGCGCGCCAAATACAACATAATTATTTATATCTTTCATATATATTATTAATATCGTTCGATATCACTTGCTCAGTATATTAATTATTTAATAGCAACAAAGCAGTCTAATGTGTTGATAAATTTTACAATTCGATCTCAGAATCATATATATAATATTAAAAATTGAAACTGTATTGAAACAAATGACAATTCAACTTAATCATTCTAATTTTATAATAAGACAATATAAAATAGCTTATAATAATAACAATATACAATAATAGCTTACTGTCTTGTTCTGCCATTTCTAACCAATTAGTTGAACCTGTGCTATTGCTTTCACTTCCACTTTCTCGACTATTTTTATCTTTCTTTTTTTTATCCTTCTTTTTCTTCTTTCGTTCTTTTTTTGCAAGCTTCTCGTTTATAACGTTTCTTTTTTCTTCTAAGGCAATAGAAGTAAGCCTAAAACATTATGTTTATTATAATATGAAGGGTATTAAAAATTCATAATTAATTTTATGTGTAAATTACATTACTATATAATTCCTTACACATAGTAGTGAAGTATTTGAATAATATTTAGGTGTGTATGTATGCGTGTGTTTTGTGTGCGCGCGCGCGTGTGTGTGTAAAATCCATGTAGATTAAAATACAAAAAATAATTTTCTGATTAATTATCTTATATTACTAATTACAATGTTTTATTTAAAACATATTCTTGTATAATCAAAAAATATATTATCTCTAATGTCATTCCGTAATTAAGATGTGATAGATCTTTTTATTTTAATATTAATAAAATACATCATTTCTAATTGTTGTTGGAATTTCTTCATTATTAATAATTTTATTTAAAAAATTCCTTTCAATATACTTCTATTATCCAAGGTGCTATAATAAAAAAGAATGAAATTTATATTGCAAAATAATAAACTTTTAAAGATCAATTAGTTAGCTCCCAATTATAACAATAAATTTATAATTGCAAACGTATAATTAACAAAAAGTATTATTATATCAGTTTTTAAAATCTAATCTTCGTTTACAAAATTTTGAATCTTAGGAATTAATTATTCAAATCAATCAATAATTCAATAATCAAGGAAATCATAGAAATTAATTTTTCAAATATCTTAATGATAATTAATCTCATAAAAATCACTGATTACAATTCAAAATTACTAAATATTATTGCTAATTTTAAAATTCATTAATAATATTATAACTATCTACCATTTTTTTTGTTTTTTTTTTATTTATTGAAGAATTTATTTACATTATCATGCCACTGTTATTAATTGTATAATATGTATGTATGGAATTTCATTTTTAAAATACCAAAATTAAACTGTAAAATTAATGTAAAATCAATTAAAATATTCTATAAAGTATGTACTAAATCATTTTAAATATGTATTAATATTTATTCCTACTAAAATTTTCAATGTAACAATTATCATTAATTTACTCAACATAATACTCAGTACAATAATTTACTCAACATAGTACGAAATATATCAAATATCTTGCTGAAAATTAGAAATAATTAAATTCAATGAAAATTAATGTTAATTTTTTAATATTGCAAATATAATTACCTAGCCTGCTCGATTTGACTATTCAGTGCTTGTAATTCTGGTGAATCTTCTCGATTTATTATTGTATTGACAAAGCGTCTACCATTTGTAAAAACAACAGCAGCACTCTTCGTTAAATCTTCTATTAATGGAATGAGAGTTTGTCCGAGGGATCTAAAAATTCAATATTTTCGAAAACTAATTTGGTACAGTCTCAATTTTGTAAATCATTGATTGTTTTTTTAATTAATCGTATACTTACGTTTGTAATATTTCTTCTGGGAGATCTAATATATATTTAGGTATGCCTGTACCTACAAGAAAATGACTAACTTCATCGCTAAAGTTATTGCAATTGTGTTTAAATAAGTTGTACGTTCCTGGTCTGTAATATTTCATTATCATTAATGATGCTTTATTTATAGTATTTTTCAATTTTATTATATGTAAAGTCTTACATGAGCATAGAGTATCAATAGTTTTATATGAAAATAAATATATTTTAATCATTAACATAATACATATTATAAAAAAATACTGAAATTTCTTTGAAAGCATAAACAAAATATATTTAGATGAATTTCAAATTAAAGCTATTTTTCAAATAAGTATATTATTATATTTATAAACATTATCTAAGTCAAATAAATATTTTGCCTTTACCGTTTTGACTAATATATTTTATAATTAAATTAAAATTTATGATTAAGAACACATAAAAAGGAGTTCAACCTTTATAAAATAGGGCATATAAATTAAATCTTATTTACAGATACTGTAAAATATTTTATAAATAAAGATATTTTCTTAAACTCTTGATTAAGCATAATTTTAAAAAGTAAAGAATAGAAAAATATAAAAATTATTAATTATTTCATATAAGATGATGTATTTTACAATAATAGATATTCTTGAATAATCTCTAACTATTAAAATCAAAACTTATTTTGAATTAAAATTAATTAATCTATAAAAATGATAAGACTATTAATTAAAAAATAAATTTTAAATATTTAGAAGATACTCGTCCATTCCATTATTTAGTTCATTAAATTAATAATTAATTATAATCTATGTAAATATAAAAATAAAATTTTTACCATATCAAAGTAGTATGATTTATTAAACATTTGCTTTAAAAGTAATAACACATACGCAAATTTTGTTGATCCAAGACCGTTGATATAATCCAAGAATACCGAGTACGGCAAGAAAGTAAAACCAATTTCTTCTATTTTCAGTGGCTCTTTAAGTCTCGTACTTCCCTAATAAAAAAAATTTTTATTTTGTCTTTTATTTTATTTTATAAGATAGTCTTATATTGTCATTTTATAAAATATTAAAACTGTAATTTAAAAAACCGTTCTCAAGTGTGTACATATATATAACCTTTTTATAAATACGAATAAGAAAACTTATTGTTGCTATACGCATGACAAGTTTTTGGCGGCTAAATCTCAGTCCGAAAATAAGCTCCAATACTGCTCCAGTATAGAAAGCCATGGTTCTTGTGAAATTTATCGTATTAAAAGAGATGCGGAAAATAAAAAAAAACAGGCTGAACTCTAAAGTAGCGAAATAGTAAAGAACTGTTTAAGAATTTCATGACGCCCCATATATTTTTGGATCAACCTACAAAGTCTAACGAAAGTCAAATGTTTTTCTACGCACTGTGTTCTGTACATACGTTTTTTTTCTTAGAGATTGTAATGTCGAGTTGATGCACCACAATAAAAATAAGTAATTATTTAAATACTCTTATCATAATTTTATGTTTATTTCTCATCGTATTCACTTCATTTTAACTCTTATTTCTAAAGTCTGATATAAAATGTTGGATATTTAATTTTAAAATAAACCATTTATTTGAATTGATCGATTATTTATTTTGTCTTCCGGTCCGCGTGAATTCATTGTTCAATAATCTCGTATAAAATTAAATGTCATTACACTCTTAAGTTAAATCAAACCCTTTCCTTATCTTACCAATTACGTAATATTTTCTTTAGGATTTTGCGAGATCAAGCATCTTTAAAAACAAACATTATAATTTATAATGTCGTTTAATCGATCGTACTTTTTAAAGCACTCGAAATCAATGCTAATACGTTTATTTTCTCATCACTTAATTAAATTTACAATAATTTCAGTGGATAATATTTCAATTAATATCTAACAAAATATCACGTAACTCAATTTCCGTCTACCTACTTACAGTACTAACTTTCTGATTCTTTAAATTCCAGATTGTCGTCACTCGAAAATGGGAAAACAAAAAAGGGATAAACAATCGCTTAAATCTTCGAACGAAAGAAAGTAACAAATCTGAGTGGGATGCCCAGTGACACTGATCACAATCAAAGGAGCAACAAAAGCTCGTTGTCTCGACCATCTGGTAAAAACAACATTGAAAAGCTATCGCCGCGCGCGAGCGCATGCGCTCGCGCGAATACCCGCACTATACTCCACGTTATACCGGCACTAGCTCACTGTTCGCACACGTACACAATCATACGTACATTAATATTCTTATGCAACACATGCACCCAAAACATGACGGTGGAATCCCGTATGTTCCGTAATTACGCGACGTTTATATGCGCCATGTGGTGGTGGTGGTGATTTTGCTCTCGAAACTGCATCACAACGAAACAAAAAGAGGATAGAGAGAGCGAGAGAGAGAGAATGAGTAAGTTTGAAAATGGAATGCAGAGGAGGGAATACAAGAGTACAGGTGCGGACTTACCGCTCGCGTGGCTTTCTCGCTTTTTCCCAGTGTGTCGTTCTCGTCAACGGCGAATCTCTCTTTCCACGAGAGGAAGAAGTTCAGTAAAGAAGAGGAGGAACACGAGGGATCGGAGGAATGTTGAGCAGGGGTTATTTTTAGAGATTTCCCTGACCAAATTTAGGTGTATCCAACACACACGTACTAAAGTATCATGTGGCTCTCAGCAACTGAGGAGGGAGATCGGTTTGTTCCTGGGGAGTTCATGAGGATAAGGAAGCAATATCATTCGATAGTGAGGTTCGATACCTACCGACCGGCTCCAACTCGTGCAAGGGTTAATTTTTTAAAATCTGTTTAGCTATTTCCAATAGATAAAGATTAGCATTGAGCGTTACAAGTTTTACTCATGATCTCAAACCATAATTCTATCTGTGTTTTAATTGATTATGTGATTTCTTAATCCATGATTTCTTAATCCGTGCTAGTTTTGTTATAATTTTTTATTTTAAACCAAAAATGTACTTGAATTTTTTTTTTCCAAAATTTATTTGATTGAGTATTCTTCCCTCCTATCATTTTGTTAAATTGTTTAATTACATTTTTAACGTTTAAATTCAAAATATTTTATCAATGATCGATCATGTAAATTATAATTTTGCTTCTATAAAAAATTTTTACCCAAAACAGACTCTTTAATCGGAATTTCCAATTATCTCATAATATTTCATTAATTGATAACATTATTTATAAGAAAAATTTTAAATATACATTGCTAAAGTAATATTTGAGCGATTTTTTTCTCGAAAATTTTAATTACATGAGCTTTTAAGAAAATTTAATTTACTTTTATTTAATTTAATTTACTTTTATTTAATTTAATTTACTTTTATAAATTAATTTAATTGGTTATTCGTTAAAATGTATACGCATTAGCCCATTGTAATTAAATTAACAAAATGTATTAAAATTCTTAACTACGACGTGATAAAAAAAATAAACATTATTATAATATATTTTGTCTAATATTGTCTTTTGATATAATGATATTTATAAGAAACTTGGTACAACTTTTTAAAATAGTAATATAAAAACTGCACTTAATAATAATTTATAAATTCATTAGAAATTCATTACACGAAATATCATATTAATTATATTTATTTTTTATCTTCCTTGAAAGTCCATAATTGGATTATACAAATTTATACAATTTAACGCCAACAACCATTTACTTTACAACAAAATTTATCACAAATGTAAAAACATGCAAATACAATTTTTACATAATAATAATTTAAATTATAATTTTCATAGTATGAAACTTTTGATGAGTTTTCGAAAATTGACCTAACATCAGTTTTCCTACGTCCGTAAATTGAATGTAAATAAATCTATCAAACTGTAAAACAGAGTAACAGTTATCTATAGATCCAAATTAATTAATTAGCATAAGTGATAGAAGCATAAATAAAAAATAATTTGTCAATTACAAGAATCAAATTTTTCTCTAGCTCATATGGAATCTAAATCTAATTCTATCGAAAGTTTAATCATTCACAATTTATTTGTTCTACATCATATTCCATTATATACATTTTATTCAGCTATTAATATTATTTTTTTACTAATTTTTAAACGTTCTTTTGCTCGTGAAAGGTAAATGGCGAACTTACCGGAATAGCGCTTTGTATTCCAAGTGGACCAAAAAAATATTCACGACGATGGACGACCACTGCTGTGTGCCATATTCCATCCAGGTGTCGACCTGAAATTGTCAAGTAAAATGGACTGTCACTTATTTGGAAATTTTAATTCATTAGGACTTATTTTTAAAAATGACTAATGAATAATATAATAGATGAAATTCATCGTAGAACGTTGATTGTTTTTCCCAAATTTTACTAGTAAATTGTTAAATATATTTATAAATGTAAATTATAATATCTTAAGCTTACAAAATACTAAGAGTCACATAATTTTTACTACCTTCAATTTTATTAACGCATAATAGAATTGTATATCTTTATAAAACCATGTTGGATATATAACCATTGTAAATAGCTTTATTTGCATTTTATATAATAATTTTAAGATTTAATAAAAGGTTACAGTATAAAGTAACTATGATATAACTAAATATTATATCTATATTATTATATAATACGAGATGTGTATAGAAACTTTAATGAAAAAAAAAAAAAAAAAAAATGCATAAAAGTCTTATCAATTCGTAAGATTTATAAATACTTTTTACGGAATATGCTTCAATCGTACATTATTGTCAAATAATAATTGACGGAACATTTTCAATTTACTTTTTATTTATTTTTAACATTTAAAAACAGCAAAAAATGTTTTAATTATTTGAAAAATATACAATTTTGGAAAATTCAATAGCTAAATGTCTTGTAGTTCTTAAATAAAATATTTTATCACAATGCTATTTGCTTATGTGAAAACTGAATTATTGTCGTAAATTGAGTATTTTATTATTATTGTTGTTGTTGTTATTGTTATTGTTTTTGTTATTGTTATTATTATTATACAATAGTGTGAGCGTGTACGTGTGTAGGCGTGTGTTTCCGTATTTGTAATAGGCTTTCATTCATAAGAGCCATGTGTCATTCGGCGCCAGTTCCGACTAATTTAATAAACAAAAGCGTGTGTCTACCGCGCCAGTTTAATACTCCCTGTGATCAGACTGATGGCTCAAATCATACAACTTTTGAATCTCACCTCTACTTAAATTTTCAGTCAAGCAATCGCAAGAGCTGTCACGACAGCGCGAGTATATTCACGGTCAGTGGCGATTGGAACGTTCACCCGTGAGATAATGACGGATAGTGGCGGAGGGGCCGGGGAACGGATGCTGGCGAAGCTCTTAATGAACGAAGACGACTAATGTCGGCGTGCTGAAAGCTCGGGCGCTGAATATTATGGCGGTCGAAGCAGAGCAGTTAGCGTGAAACGGAATGCTCCCGATCCACGGTTTAATGAGCTTTCGTTCGGTCCTCGGGGATGACCCAGTTGGACCATCGCGGAAATAGCAAAGGCATCCGTATGGACTTTTTATCGGTCGCTCTGCCCAGGTGGAGCCGGCCGAGAAACCACGAGAAATAACTACACCGATTGTGATACACTACCATACGTGGACACGCGTATATATTTAACCATGGCATCAACCGAGTAGAAGTGGATAAGCGCCGACAAGACGCCAAAGTCAGGAGAAATTGTAATTTCCAATTCGACTCGTTATTAATTAGGAGTTTGGAGCCATCTATATTCGACGATCGGTTCAATAAAATGGAAAGCACGATGGCCACGATGACTCGTTAAATTAATCGCAGGATTCGTTCGAATTATCTCAATAAGCATCATCGTTATGTACTGTGGGACTAAGCTAGTAGGACTATCCCAGGAGTTAATAGAAATTTAAAATAATATTCTATATACTTTAAGTTAACAGTTATAATTCTGGAAATCATAATTTTTAATTTATGCCATATTATAATGTATTTTTATCCATAAAAACATTATGAAATGTTATTCCAACCTCCGCTACTATTTTCTATTATTAGAAAATTTACGTTTATTTATAAATCTAAATATTTAAATCTAATTAGTATGACTCGAAGAAAAACATTTTCCATGACAAGAACCATAGAATTCGAAAAATGTATTTTGTTAAGAGTAATAATGATCTATCAACTTGACAATAACTTGAGTTACTTAATACTGCTGAAAGGCTATAACCAGCGGTATTTTGTTCCACTGCTCTTTGTTACGTTATTCTTGCGCTAATCATTATAAAAGTTTATCCTAATATTATCTTATAAAGTCTATGAATGATTAATATCTTGCGTTATGTATTACTACATAAATTACTGAGGTAAAAAGAAATTATGAATAAAAGACAAACTACGTTAAAAGTTCTTTATTTCAAAAAGATATGAAAATAAATACGAAAAATTTATACTTTCTGCTCAACTTTTTCTAGAAAATAATAGAAATTATACGCGATAACTTGTATTAATTGTATAAAAACTCAGCAAAATACAAAATAGATGTACAAAAATTATGACAACAATGTAATTTTTAATCATAGCAAAAATGAAGATAAAAATGCACTTTATTCGATAAGCATCACTTTTGAACACATTTGTACTTATTAAATAAGGTAGTAAATAGGTACATTAATAGAATTAAAAAAGTTTAATTAATAACAATAGTCATGTTTAATTTCTTCTAATGAAGCACAATAAGACCAACTTCAACGTAAGAATATTTTCAAATTTATAAATATTCAAGTATAGAATTTCAGATCGTTTTCGAAATCACATGAAAATTTCGTTTAAAAACATTATTATAAGAAAAATAAAATACTTCGTGTTTTCCATATTATCCAAATTTATTACAAAAATATTAGTTTTTCAATTTATTTTCGAAAGCACATAAAAACAAAGAAAATAACATATCAGATTTTTTTAATGTATTAAGATGAGACGTGCATTCTCATAAATAAACTTAATATTCCAAAAGAAAAGCTTTGAATTATAAACTTTTATTGAAGAATATACTAATATTTTAGTAAATAAAAGAATATCCATGAGAATTTATATCGTAAAAATCCATATTAATTTAATTTCAAATATTTTAAAAGTATTATTATTGTTAATTATTATATAAGCTGAGAATATGCCAAGTAATAACTTCACTTGCATTATATAAAGTATGAAAGTCTATAGTTAAAAAATTATTTGAAAATTGTATGTGACAAGCACGGATACGCTCCCCGACGCAATTTTCATGGACAGTGTAAAATTTCCGAGCACAGCTACCAAAAGAAGAGGGATTATTACATCTAGAAAAATAATAGGTAGAAAACTTAAGCGATTGATATTCCCGATATTTTCTTTAAAAATTCTACTAAACGTACCGCCTATTAGAAATACATATACATATCGCTATCACATGTGTTAAAAATTAATATTATCAAGAGGACATCAAGGAATTTCCTATTGAAATCGCATGGTCAATCATATAATACAAGAAAACATGTAGCAACATCTGTTTCAGGGCAATTTCAAATCCTATATACGAACCTTTGTACAACGGTCAAACTGACCATTAGGCACGTTTGTAAGCATATGGTTGCAGACTAATTACATTACCTTGGTAGTCCCAACTATTAACGGGACCAGTCATTAGAGTGACAATACAAGCAAGGACGACATCATTGGGGCTTAGCAATAAGTTAATTTATAATTTTTTCATTTAAAATGTAAAATTTCAAATATAAAGTGAGAAAAAAGTAGTTTATCGGACTACATTTACACTACTGCATCGCTTCGATGAAAGATGAACTAGACGCATTTTATCGACAACGATATGCAGTTGTACGTTGCCTAAAATAATGAAATATTTATTTGAAACTAATAATTGTATGATATTTAATATTGATATAATATAGATATCCTCGAATTAATAAATAAAATTAAGTGAAGATCTTTATTATCTGATATTATGAGTTTACCTAGTAAAAAAAGGGCTCACCAATACTGGGAAGTAGAAGTTTTATAAAAAAAAAGAAATACAAATTTACTTCTATATAACGAATAAAGCAGAATGTTATAAACAGTCTAAGCTTTAAATTAATAATTTGTAATAACTTATGCTATAATTAATGCTTAGATCTAGAATAACAAATAAAAAATGCACGTATGACTTTTAACTTAATAGCGTTCTTTATTAATTTATCATTTTTCAAATGTTTGAATAGATAAATCGTTAGTATGACTTAAATTTTTTTAAATAAACAATTGTATTAAAATGTAAATTATTTAGATTGTTATTTCAATCTTGAAATCAATATCTGCTTATGAATGTCCATATAGTACTCACAAAATAAAAATAGTTTCATAATTACGATAGCTATAAGAAATTATGTGTTTTCTAATTTTGTATTTAATGTTATTTTCAATATCTCTGATACTGCATTTAATGTATGAATAAGTGAAAATTCATAAGAAAAACAATGTAGGAAATAATTTGAAAAGGGTTAAAACTCATATTCATTAAATTACATTGGAGTTGAAAAATTACTTTTTATGGAACTCGCGTAGCGTATAATGAGTTAAGGTAATTCAGTATGACGATTTTTTCGATACACATGGCAATTTAAATTAAAAATAGTTTAGATATTATTTAATATTTTTATAGACCCATAAAATATACATGTATTATTGTCCATAGGTACAATTAATCTGCTATTGATCATTGCCTATACTTATTGACTAAGTTCTAAAATTCTTGACAGATTCATGACATTTTCTTTATATCAGATTATGTCATTAATATTAAATTAACTGGATCATACAAATCGTAATCAAAATTATTACAATTTAATATAAGTTTAAAAAAAAATAGATAAAACTATATGTTATATCCATTAACGATTAAAGCTAGAATACTAAAATTAATAGAAACAAAACTTATTTGTAACAATGATACAGATATTTTCTCAAATAATATGTGCATCGTTTAGAATAAGAAGTGTTCGCATTAGCGAAAACAGAAACATGACATGTGAAGAAAGAGAGGAAAGGCTACGCATCTTTACAGCATTGGCACAGTGTTTTGCGACGCTAATGTAAACAATCAATAAAAGAAAATATATCAAACTATGTATGAGATTGATATAATTATAAATTGTACATATTGATAACATTTTTTAACCGATTTTTTATGCTTATATATAAATAATCGCAACTGCATTACACACTGTTTTAACCAAACTTAAGGAAGAACAATATAAGAAACGTAGATCATATTTATTTTAATGTTTCATAATACATATATAATAAAGATTAAAAATAGAAGCACTGCGAATTGCACTCGGTATTATTAGAATAAGCAAAATAACAAAAACTAGACAAAAAAAAGCAATTGCTCATTTTAAATGTAATTAAATACATTTATTTTATGAGACATGCGAATTAAGATTGCATGTAAATATTTTACATAAAAAATTAGCCTTGATGATTGATAAAAACATAAGAGAAATAATATTATAGGAAATATTTTTAAAAATTGCTCTAATGTGCCATGATAAAAATTTACTATTAATATATAAAAAGATAATTTAGAATATAAATTGATAATCTAATTTAAAAATTCAAATTAATCCTAGGATCTTTTACAATACGAATATTGTAATGACATATATATATATATATATATATATATATATATATATATAATCGTTAAAATGTTATTTCAAATAAATAATTATATAAACCAAGACTTCACATAAACATAATTTCAAAGTAATTTCAATATTATAATTAATTAAAATTCTTCAACATATTAAATGAAAATCATGCTTTATCATTCGCTAATTTATAGCTAAATTAGCTGATGAGTAATAAAATCTTTTACAATAAGTTATCATACATGTAATTGAAATATTTACTATAAACGGAACCAATTTTCTATTAACATAAGCACGATTAACAAATAGACATGCACGAATAAATAAATCAAAATTAAAACGTGCAGTAGTAAACAACGTTAAAAATAAATATTATATACTAATTATATGAACTATATTGACTCACATTTATTAATGTACATATATGATCGTATAAAAAACATCTAATGAAAACATATAATGATATAAAATTTACACAGTATATTAATAAAAGATTCTCAAGGATAATTTAATTAGAAATTTTAAAAAAAATTTTCATATTAATTTTCAATTTGAACTGCGCTTAAATCAAATTTTACCTATTTGTTTGTAAACTTTGTTTGGGTTAAAGATTGAAAGCAATAATGTAAAATCTTCAATATTTGTTCTTTATTGCAATACGTCACTTTTTAAAAAGCTTTATTTAGAATAAAAATATGTATTTGTACAAACGTAATACCAAATATATACAAATAAAAAGATTTATTCCTATGACATTTAATTAATTAAATTTTTAATTAGAAATTGTAATTTACAAATTAGCAGCAAATATGATTTTACGTATCGATATGAATATTATATATTTCTATTTGAGGAGTTCAATTTTATAATAACAATAAAATATTTAATTCATTTGTGCATTAAATTAAATTGCAAAGAGTAATAAGCGGATTCTTACTCAATTCAGAGAAATATAGAATGGCGTGGTTCGTAAAATACCAAACGCGTGTATCATTTGCACAATATTCACGTTTATAGATAGCGAAAGTGATAATTTGCACACGAAAACAAAACTAGCTTACAATGGAAGCTATATGTTGGGTGAGTAAAAATAGTAAAAATAACATCTCACTCTATTCAATATTACCTTGGAAGGTAAGCTAAATGCAACATGGAAACTTATAGAACTTGATTCATTTCATAAGATTTCAGTTGGATTTCCAAGTATTGATACGTAGTAAAAATTTGATGTTCTTGCATTTACAAAATACTTGTGCAAAAGAGATGGATTTGCGAAAAAGAATTATCGACTTATCCATGAATAATATTATTCTGACTTCAGTTATAATATTCTATAGACGACAATACGTGAAGTTATCCCGAATAAATAGTTAGATCTTCAAGAATAAATTCACATATCACTTAAATATAGAGAAATATTATATACTACTCTATAAGAATAATTTTGAATAATTAATTGTTGCTTAATAAATGTATGTGCCTACATATATATATATATATATATATATAGCTTTACGCTATTGCGTAAATATAATTAACAATCTTGCAGGAATTAAATTGTTCTTTAAAATAAAATACCATTAAATTTTTAAGCCAATTTCTTCAAAGTCTTTCATTAATGTACTGGAAAAAGTGCGAAAGTCTAATAAAGATTTAATGAAACATAATGAAGAGAGCACAATAATTACATTTAAAAAAAAAACTATAATGTGGTCATCATCCTCTAGAATTTTAACTACGTTGGTACGGCAACAGCTTCAATTTAATACCGTATGACGACAAAGTCTACACTCTAAAATTAACATACATTGCTGGCACAGATCTAAAGAAAATCTGCGAAACACGTGCAAAATCGGAGGATCGAAGACTCTCTGATATTTTGGCTAAGCACTTATGTCACTCTCTGTCTCTTACCTTCTCTCATTTTGTATATTTATATATATTATCCACTTTGTGTTAAATCTCTTTCTTTTATTAATATAATTGTATATCAATACCAATGTATGACAGCAGTCTCCAAACACACAGAGAGAGAGAGAGAGAGAGAGAGAGAGAGAGAGAGAGAGAGAGAGAGAGAGAGAGAGAAACAATTAAGTAAATTAACGAGTGATAATGCATTACTGTTTATTTAATTAAAAAAAAAGAAAAATAGAATCCTACAATATATTGTTCTTAAATGCGAAGAATGTTTAATGATTATTTTTAAAACATTTGATACGTAATGAAATACGCAAAAAATTATTTAATACTACTTGATTTCAATGCGACTTACGTTAAAACATATTTTAAAAACATGTGTTATGTTAAAAACCAATAAAATTAAGTGGATTATCGGAAATCAGTATGTCGATTATATTAAAACATTGCAATATTAAATTAAAGTCTTAGCTAAAACTTAAAAGATAATATATTTTCATATTCTGTATAATTTCATAACATTCAAGCAATCTATCGTATGAGTAATACAGTATAAAAGGAAACAGGTTTATTCAACTTTAACAATCAATGATTTGTCATTTAATGAGTAATAATCGATTTTTGTAATATCTTCGATCTTTTAAAAAGATGAAAAACTCAACAGTCAACAGGAAATATTCTGCTTCTAATTGTAATTGACAAACGATATGCTTGGTGCTTGTTACCGATATGTTTTGTACTTACTTAAAAAAAGCAATTAAATCTAAAATAAAACTCTAAACAGTATACAAATTTTTTTAATCGATATTTAAAAGGTTGCTTGCCAATTTAAATGTTCGTGCTTACTCCTCTGAATTTAAGGTAAATTAACACCTAAAACTTACCTAACAGCATATCAGGCATCAGTGAGGCTATGCCGTTTGTGAGATCGTAAATATACAATTTGACCATTGCGGCCACATTGTTTTCGTCTTCCATATATTCAGCCTGTAAAAAAATTATACAGATCGATAAATAACTCGTACGCTAAATGCCTCTAATACACAATAGCAATTGTAATTAAATAAGAATATGCATATAATGTGACAAAAATTGAACGTGCACTAAAAATCATTATAACTTCTACACTCGTGTTACACCCTATCACTATTTTATTATATAAAGCTCTAGAGAAAAAAGAACCAAACTACCTAAGTTTTTGTAAGTAATAAGTATTGGTATTTAATTCATTTAATTATAAAAATAACAATCATACGAAAATCACATATTTTTTAATCGAAAAACTGTTTATTGTGGCAATCTGTATTAACAAATACTCTGGATTATAGTTTTTCAGCTTCGTAACTACGGTTAAAAAGAGTAGTCGAATATCATTGAAAATTAAAAGACGAAAAGAGATGTATAAGAAAAGTATATAAAGTAAAAAGGTATCATAAAAGTAAATGTATTAAGAGATAAATTTGTACTATGATAGAATGATGTTGCAAATGAATCTCCGATATTCATTCAATATTCATAATCGCTAATTTATTCATGCGATGATTAAGAAAGCAACGACATTTGAAAGAAGAACAAAATTGTTATACATTCGTAATAACATCGGTTTTCTTATAACGATAAGCTACAAAAAATACATGAATTTCATGTAAAATTGATAATCGACAACTAAAGAGTCGCCAATGTTTTAATATCGTTGGAAGAAAGCGACATATTGTATTGTATAGTACGTATACCCTCAATGATCGATCAACGCTAAAAATTATCCTTTCCCACATAATGTAGGAAATGAAATACAGCAGCACAAAGTTCAAATATTTATCCTCGTCATTAGACTTCAATATTTCCAAAGCCAATGACTCGGCTGATAAATAGCACAACCGACAATTATCATTAACACGCACAAACAAAATTCTAAATCGCAATTCACCAACATCAGACGACATTTATGCCGCGCTCCATCCGCAAAACCAATATATCGTCCATCCAGATTAATTAGTCGCTGAAAATTATTTCTGACGGGGTGTACGTGTGATACAATCCATGGATACAGTCCATGTGACGAAATCGCAAAACACTCGTAAATTCAAATGAAGGCGTGTATGTACATCCAATAAAGAGCGATTGCGACAAAAGGATATTTTTCCCAGTATTGATAATACATTCTTCTCAAATATGAAACTTATACTATTATAGAAGTTGAACACTTATTTATAAAAAAAAAAAGAAAAGACACCGGAAAAAAAATATCTCCTAACAAAAACATCGGACATCGCTATCTAGTTGATTTTATATAATCCTCTCTTATATTTAAAAATAATATATTCATTTTAAGATTCACTTTTTCCTAATCAATGGTTCTATTACAACAAAATAAAAACGCATAAGTATTTAGTTTACTTATAGTTAACTTATATCTAGTTTCCCTCAAAGCAAAAATGTATTATACATTTATCTTATAATAAATAAAATTAATGTTCTACCATCTATTCGATATTTTGATGAGAAGCGATATTCGAACAAATTCATAATCAAAAAAATTTAATTTATGGCCATTTATTTTCTTGTACAAAAATATATACTTTATTTTTATAGGAACAATAATTTCTGTTCTCGAACGACTCGACCGTATACATGTTTTTTTTATAAAAATCAATGTCGACAAAAATAAAAAACTGAATTATTTATACAGCAAAGGTTATTTAAAAGGATAAAGACATATTTTTCCATTACAGGTCGCAACCCACGATGAAATAAACATTTTCATCGAAAATTAGTAATCGAAGCCTATTATATTAAATTATTTAAAGTTTCTCGCAAACTTTGCAGAATCATCACAATATCCGATTTCACTGTCTTCACTTTCGTGCTTCACTCCGAACTTTCATTTGATTGCCTCTTTCTTCTTATCACCACTCGGCGGTTTATTACCGCCGCGCAATTATTGTCAGTATGAAAGAAGCGCAATGGTATAAAGGCATACCGTCGTGGCTACACAACAGGAACTAACACATGAAAATATGAAAATATTTAGCTTTACGGAAAATTGGGTCAATTCCCGCCTAAATTTGAAAACCATTTACATCACTTTAGTTACGTTTACACGGACTGTCCTTTTCTTGCGATACTTGGAGGGGTTTTCTTTCTCTCGAGTTGAACGTTAGCTTTTACGACATTTAATATTACTCTGAATGGTTTTATTATAAAAGATAATACGAGAAATTGTAATTGTGAATCCCTTTCGCTGACTTAAGAGTTAATATACTAATTTCTATAAAAGTTTCTATTCGGAATATAAAATTGTACGAGAAATTAAATTCCAGTTTGGCACAATTTTACGTTGATATGTTTGAAAGATAATTAATAAATAAAATCGTAAAATTTGATTTCTCCGTATTAATAATAATAATAATAATAAACGCATAAAATTATTCTTAAAGACAAAGATAAAAAAATTGATCTCACTATTAGTAAAAATCTATCTGATGCCCCGAGTATTCGCAATACCGATTATTTATTATAAATTATTGAGATTTTGTAGACGTCACCTGATAAACACATAACAATACTGATCATGAGAGTCGACTAAAGAAATATATATCATGAAAAATGAGGATACAGAATGAATACTGTTAAATCGCGAAAAAGAAGTTGATAACAAAAACAAGAGATGAATTGAAATTATAATGAAGCAATCTCAAACAAAGTGAACACGCATATTTACGTAAGCCATTTTATGATATTCTCTCTACCTGAATGAAAAGAAAAATTCGCGGTGAAAACGTGAAAAAAGAATATAATATGAAAAGAAAGAAGAGAAGTAGAAGAAAGTGGAGCTATTACGTAAAAACCGAGATAAAAATAAAATCTGACATACCTTAACTCCACGATAATCAACCAGGTCACGAATATATAAAAACCACGGATGAAGAAATTGAAGAAAACAAGCCAAAAATCAATACATCAAAATACCAAAACGAAAACAATAGAAGCCGCCACGCGAGACGAAAGATTTTAAAAAATATACACGCGGGCAGCTACGCGACTTAACTACTCTCGCGTTTAGTGGTCAACGTCTGCCGACTCGGTTGCCCACTACTGCTGCAAACTGATCGTCGAATTTCTCTGCGTTGGAGGAGGGAGAAGACGGCAAACGAGAGAGAAATAGGAAGAGAGAGAGAGAGAGAGAGAGAGAGAGAGAGAGAGAAAGAGAGAGAGAAAGAGAGAGAGAGAGAAAGAGAGTGAAAGAAAGAGAGAGAGAGAGAGAGAGAGCGCGCACGCGAGAGAAGAACATTAGAGTATAAGACACTGTAAATGCAAGTGCAAGTATCTTGGAATCCATTCGCCCTCGCTTTTGCAACCATAGAATATATATTACCACATCAGAATGTAGTATCGTTCTATGCTATAAAATTTTATCAAACTCATATTCATTCCTAGAAATATTCGACAATGCGCAAAGGCACGATACTTCAGGGGAACAGTTAAAAAAAATCTTTTGATATATATATATATATATATATATATATATAGCGAGAGAGAGAGAGAGAGAGAGAGAGAGAGAGAGAGTTATTATGGTTTGGAAAACATTAATTTTATTAAAACTTTGTTATTTCGTTTTTTGTTTTTTAGTAATATTTTTTTCAATTTTTCACGTACCCTATTTATAGTATTGTCGACTATATATGTCATATTTTTCAATAGCTTCATAAAAACACAAATTCTTTAAAAACTAAATATGTCACTGAATCTAATATAAATATGATATCTAATTAAAAATGAAAATAACGATTAGTTTTAATTGAAAAGTAATTACTGGAATACAAAAATTCTTGATAGGAAATTATCTAACAATTTCGGAAATTTGTTTTACATTAATTTACGACCTAACGAACTTTTGTAAGACCACTCATAGTATTTAGCAAAATATACGCAAATATTGCTTTGCTCAAAAAACTTTCTTTGTTTCAAAAAATTCTATTTTCTGAAATATTAAATAAGATTGAACATGTATCAAATTTTATTTTAAGATTTTGGTCAATTTGAAAAAATGCAAATATATATATATACATATAAATATGAATAGTAAAATTCAGTAGAAAAAAGAAAATAATGCAACAAATGCTATATAGATATTTATTATTTCCAACCACAAATGGAATTTAAAATATCTGATATGTTTTGAACATTGCTTTAAAAAATACCTATTCTGTATGAAATTGTATTTCAGAAGAATTACAAGTACTATAAATCTTATTTTTTATTCCATCATTTAACATAAAATGCAATTGTAAAAATATTTGCTTTTTTAATACTTGTATGTCTAAATGATATTTCGTGTATTATTAAGCATTCAATTTGTAATAAATATATTTACTATTATTTTCATTTCTGGCTCAAAGTGATGCATTAACGATGTAAAATAAAATTACATCTTCTTTTTAAATACAATCATAATAAATAGACATATAATAAATTAATATTCAGAAATTATATAAATGTAAATTAGTAAAATACTCAGTTAATTGAAATAATTAATATAATACATAAGAAACTAATTTAAAAAAAAGCTAATAAAAAGTATAATAATAATTTTTAAGGGGAAAATTTTATGCGTAATTCAAGAATTTTCTTCTCTAAGTAACAAATATCATACTAAATTATTTAATTTTACTGCAGAATTATCATGATTCAAAGCGAAATGATTTAATCACACTGATTAATACGATTCATATAACAACATATCGTTTCAGTGTCTCAACAAGATTTGAATTAGAATCAATCAACGTCAATAATTACAATAGAATTACAGTATATGCTATAAATAGTTTATTATAAAATGGTAATCTATGTATTTCATTCGTTATAGGCTGTGGTAATTAATTCAGAAGTCTACGATATTGTTATTAAATGCTTCCTTAACCATATTAATTTAAATAATACAATGATTATAGCATTTGTATTTTTTAATTGCTTGCATAAAAAAATATATTGTGCAGTTTATGTATACAAAAAATATATAAACTTCTTATTCACCTTTTTTGAAGTTGATATTTTCATGATTAAATATATCAAAATATTTACCAGCAAATGTACGTAAATATAAGAAAAATTTCTAATTTAAACGCCATTTTACTTATAAAATATATTAATTTTTATTTATATAAACTGTAGGTACAATCAAGTTATAAAATTGATAATAATAAATGCATTTAGTATATATAATGATAATTTATTTTTTAAATAACAACAAACTTTTATGCAATAAACTCGATTTTGATTTGACAATTTAAGGAAAATTGAATTACATTCTGAGAAACTGCAAGCTATTCCATATTTACTTGATTACAATATTTTCTTACATAGAATAATTACTCAATTTATAATCACCTGATAGTAACATTCATTATAAATTTTTTTTTTTTTAATATATGGTTTTAATAATTTATCGAAAACAAAAAAATATCGTTAAAATATGAAACTTAGCCCAAACACGATTTAATAATATGCAGTAGATTCGCAATATTAAGAATTCTTTTGCATTTGTACTATCACTCAAAAAGTGAAACAATCTTTATCTTATAAATATAATAGATGTAAGTTCCTAGAACAATTTTTATCTTTCGTAAATTCTTATTATTTTAATTATTACATATTTTAATTAATTATATTAATTATAATATTTTTTTAAATTATATTAATTTAAATCCATAAGATAACAATACATAATCATTCTCCCAATTAAATTGAAATTTATTATATTTCTGTACCAACTTTGTACAAAAATAAAAAAAAATACTGTAAAGAGTACATGACATTATTCATAGTCACTTTGTGCAACTTAAAAGTTCATTACCTCATCAACAAAAGAGTGCTACTTGTCTCTGTTTTACCCTAATAATATCTAGAATATTTGCTCATGCCCTACTTTATTTAAGATTAATTTGAAATTTTAGGTCTTGGTCTACCTAAAATTCATTTACTTTTCAATTTCCGACGAAAATTCTATATATGCTGTTCGTTAATTTTGTATTTTAAATAAATAGAGTGTACATCTTAATCAAGAGTATAAATGATTTTAATGAAATTAATTTAAATATAAAATTTTTTAATATTGTACTACTGCAACGATCACAAATATCTTCAACCTGGTTTACTTCAAATATTTTTCTACACGTTTTATTTTCAAATGTTCTAAATGTTGTTCTTCGTATGTTGAACATTTTTTTTGTTTTTTTCATGCAAAGTAAAAATAAAAAAATTTATATTTTATTAATTTTAACTATTGGAAACGTATATAAGTTTTTATAAATTTCATTATTTTATTTCCATTATTTACTATAACAACGTATTGTCTTCAATCATAATTAAAAAATTTTATTACAAATTCGTAAATTGATAACTATAGGATTTAATACTACCTCAGTAGTTATTAGTTAATTATTTTTTGTATCTTTTTTGGGATAACAAACCCCTTTAATTGTTACTTTAATTATGATAAATTTGAGAAGAGGATTGTGTGTTACCTTCCACTAAATACCAATTTTATATAATAACGTGCTTGAAAGTCGGTACATTTATTTTACTTTCATATGTTGTTTTTTAAAACTTACTTTTCAGATGTATTCTCTCATAATAAGTATTAATTATTACATATTTTTTAATTTTATAATAATATCTATGTTTATATGTACGTAATATTTTATCTATGTAATATTTAACTTTAAATCAGAAATAATAAACTCTGCTGAATGATATCATTTGTATAATAAATATATTCAGAGTTATACTTCAGCTAACATCTTGCAATAATTCTACTTTAGTGTATCTTGATTCAAATGATTGAAACTATTATTAAAAATTTTTATTAAATATTTCACTGTTAAGTAACTATTTATGAAACTAAAGAGTTCTACAATACTTCTGTTTTATATCTAAATAATGTCAAAAAATATAAAATGAAATTTCGATGAAAACAACATTTTATTTTATAGAACTATACATTAATATTTTGGTGAATAAAATTTACAAAAAATGTTGTAACGTATACATTTATTAATCTATTACAATATATGATTTACAATAGACACTTTATTATTTTTATGCGACTATTATTCTTTTTTAATAAAACATTGGAATTTTGTAAAATCAACTGAACAATAATCAATTAAATTTCAAAATTTACACAAAAAAATAAAGAAACTTTTTAATTTACAAAACACATTTCAATATTATCGCAGATCTTGTCCAAATTTCAATGCATATCAAAAATGTTTTACGTTTCCATCAACAAAATTTCGAAAAGAAATTAAAAATAATATTAAGGAAACTTGTATGAGGTTTTTATTTTGCATATAAAAAGCATGCGATGCAAGTTAATTTGCTTTTGTTTGTTAAATTAACAAATTTAAGAATTTCAATTTTAAAAGTGCAAGAGTTTTTACATTCGATAAAAGTTTGCAAGAAATGCGATAAAAAAAAATCACCGTTTAAACTACCTCGTTCAGCTAATTTTGTGGTGAAAGAATGTTTATAACATCATGTGCAGATTTCACACTTATAATTTTTTTAAATAAACGGAACATTGAAAAGAAAAAAAGAGCCATGAAACCGACCTTGTTAATTTTGATAACTCTCCAAAATTAATATCTTTTTCGAAATCCGGATAAATCTTGTAATTCATGGAATAATTTGAAATAATACATTTATTCATATATTCTTCCTTATTTCAATAGAACCATTCAATATAGGAATATAAGAATATCATTATTTTCATACATCAATAGTTACATGCAAATAAGAAAATGTAAAAAAAGTATACAGATAACAAAAATGTATGCCACATACTATTTAAAGGGAAAGTATTCAAAGTTCTTAATATTTTGTAATATGTTATATATTCTTAAGCATGTAAGAAATTTTAAAACCTCTAAAATTAGATATCCTGTTAAACTAGAAACATGTATTAGCTTACATATTTCAAGGAGCATCTGCATCCATATGATATAAAAAAAAAAGTTTGCAGACAATATATTGAAAAGACGAGATTAATTGAACTAATTGAGATTATTGAATCATTGATTATTGAAAATAAATTGAGATTAATTGAATTTACAGAATCGAATAAATATTTTTAAATACATAATTACTACTTAGGTTTGACTGGTTTAATTCTACATTCTCTAAAATTCAAAGGTTAATACAAATTTTGACTTATAAAATTCGTAAATATTGAAAACAAGTGGTACATATAAATATTATATACATGTCAATTTTTTAAAAATAATATATAATAATATGATTCTAATATTTAATACGCTGTGGCATTACGTTTAGAAATTTGACAGCTGGGTAAATAATAAGATAAAATTAAAACTTGATTATATAAAATGAAACGTTTAATAAGGAAAAAAGATTTATACACACAGCACTGAGAATATACGTTTCTACTGTCAATTAAATTTGTTTTCAATATTAGTAATCGCAACATTGTAAATAAGTTCAACTAGTTTATTAAAATAATAAATCTCAATTAACATATTTTACAAGACTATAAAATGATATGTTACATATTTAAATATGGATACATTCAAATTTACCTGCAATTAATTTATCTTTCTCATTAGTTATAAAATAATATTTAAACCATCAAAATTTTCCCTGAATATACATATATAATATTATATATTCATATGTATATATAAATAGCATATTATATTTGAAAAATTAATTGAAAAAGTAATTTAAAACATTAAATAGCTTTCAAAAAAATTTGGAATTTTTAATGAAATTTCAATTAAATTATAGTTACTTTGCAAAAGCTTTAGTGCACCAGTCTTATACATACTTTAATCATTGATCTATATTTCTTCTATCAGTATTATAGTATTTTATTATATATTTATCGATCATTTATTCAATAGAAAGTTAAAGATAGCAGAGAACGGATAATTATCTGTGATTGTAAACATAAATAATACTTTATTTGCATTCATTGTATTTTCAACTAATCGATTAGAAAATCTTACAAATGATGAAATACTTGAATAATGACATACTTGATTTTTATTGCATGATATATATTTAGTTTTTAAGGACTCTTTGATTTTATTTTTAAACTCTTTGAAAATAAATAAAAGTAATTGCTTGATATTAATGTTCGAAAAACTCTAATTTTCGATTTGCTGTTACACATAGCGACTGTCATTAAAATGCTTGTAACATGCATCTTATTTATTTGTTTAAATTCGTAGAAATTGAATGTTCGTTAGGAGAGGCTATGTTGAACAAGTATTAGGAAATGACAACAATGAATTCAACAAAAATCAGAACTACAATAATGTTATTACTTACCATTTTCTTGTGAAACCTTTAACAATACAGAGACCTCGAAATTTACTTATTTTCCCTATATTAGAGCGTAGATAATAATAACATGTGCAACATTCCTAGGTTAGGAATTAACTGATGTCTACACGGTTTCTCTCTGTCTCGCTCTCTTTCTCTTCCTCATTCCCTCTCGCTCTTTCTTTGCACGTAAACTTGTATCCTCCTTCCTTCCCATGTGCGTGCGATCTATCTTTCTCACTCTCTTTACCTGATTCCGTCTCTGTCTATCGTGTATAGCACAAGATAATAAAAGGTTGTTCGTCTAACCCCCCTCTCTCTCTCTTTATATTTTGTCATCACGACGCGCGTCTTGACTCGACAGTTTTCATATATAGTCTTTCGTGCGTGAAACACGGCTATGCCAGCCAGATTAATTTATTTATTGTGTTAATATCTTCCGAGTTCAAATAGTATAAAACTTATGTTGATCTACAATTTGCAGAATCATGCTTTATTTTGCCTGAGCTGATCGTACACAACATATATATATATATATATATATACACATATATATATGCATATGCAAAAATATATTTAAATATATATACTATTTATACGTGGCTTTATGCGTGTTATGTGCAAATATACATAACACACACACACACACACACATATATATATATATATATATATATATATATATATATATGCACGCACACATTTACACCTTTAGTCGAGTGCATGCATCCCGGGGATAGTGTCTTACTCATATATAGCCTGTGTGTGGGTAAAGGATACCTAAAGAGAGATGGAGTATTAACGAAAGCGACGAGCACAAACTATATTCGCTCTGTGCCCTTTATACGCTAGTATTTTTGAATTTAATGAGTTGGAAGAAAATCATTTGAACTGTGGCCTGTATTCATAATGATATTAACATTATTTGCCGTAGACGTAAATTTTAAATGAAAAACCACAACATATTAATTATTTCTGTGTTATTATACAATTGTTGTAGATTAATATTCATTCATTTTTTAAAAATTCAGATGAAGATCTGCATTAACGATACCTAATCTCAAGCCAAAATTTAAGTCTATGACAATTTTAGCGTTGTTTCATTATTCTTAAAGATTTGCTTAAATAAGTAAGAATTATAGTTTTATTTATGTTTTTTATTTTTATATCTGAAAATTATAGCGAAGAAAAGAAAATTATTTGTATAATGATAATACGTTCGCAATAATATTAACAGAAATTGTATTTGCCTTTGAATTTCAATAAATAATTGACAACGCTCTGACATAATCTCAACTTGAGTTTTCTTTCTTTTTCTTTGTTTCTTTCTTTGTTTCTTTGTTTTTTCTTTTGTTTGATTTTCACGCTATAGAATTTGAGCGAACTAATTAATCGCGCCGTAAATTTATAAAATTAACATGATCAAATCGCATTATCTTAATTACTTATTTATGTATCCATAAAGGACGTCCACTCCACGTAGGAAGTTATGGAAGAGAGAAAAAACACGTTCGTTATAAGTGCGCATTGTATTAACCATAAGTGCTAAGATTCAAATTATTCGATTAATGCAATAATTATTTATAAGTCGAAATTTGAAAAGTCATCGCTCATATTAAGGCAATTACTTTTAATAGAACGACAAAAAAATACGGACGCGCGCGCGTATACGCAACAATAGTGCTCCTCCAATAAATTGATGGTTACCTTAATATAGATACAACGTTAAACAAGTGCCAGCGTAGGAAGGTCAAATAAAGTGCTGGCAGAGACAAAAGATCAGTGGCTGCGCTTGTGTGCGCGAGTCTTGTGTGGTGGAACATTGTGCCGTGCACCGCTAGTCCTAGGGATTTTGGTCGGCACCGCGTTCGAACGTAGCGCGAGAGAGCGAGAGACGGATAAAAACAGCTGATGCTGTGCGAGGAACACCGGCGAAATGTCAAAGTCCAAGCAAATCGTAAGTGTGGGATTCGATTGTGAAAGCAATTGGCGATAAGGTGTTGTGAGTTTGAGTGTCCGTTTGGGGATGGCGATGACCTCGCTGGGGCTAAAAAACTCGCTGGTCATCGCCACCGCCATCGACGCATGGTTACTCGTGGATACGGCCCAATGTGAAAATTACTATACTACTCCAGCTAAACTTGGCACTTCAAATGACCCTTGATTTTGTATTTTTATCCAAAATTGTTTATGTTCGCATGATTGGAGACAGAAACTTTTTGTATTTTGCATTTCAGGATTAAATATCTCAATTTTCTAACAGTTGGAAACTTCTCTAACCTCAACCAATTTCTGGTTGTTTATTTTTCAAAATTGTAGAGGAGGCCGTTTGAAGTGACTGCCTGGAAATGATATATTTTCTTTTTGCTGTTTGCTCACCTTATTTTGCACATTTTATAAATAAAGCTTATACAAAAATTAAATGTAATGTTATGGATCTTTTGTAGTTACTTCGTATACAATCTGCAGAGGGTACAAAACGAATCGAGATACAGACCTCTGACACGGTATCACAGCTTTTTGACAAGGTAGGAATTAATACTCAGTATATATATGTTTATATATTTTTTTATAACTATATATATATATATATATATATATATATACATATAATTAATATATTAATAATAGAATATATTTCTAAATTTTGTATTACTTCGTTTATATAGTTATCTAAATATTTTAACAGCTTAATACGATTAAATACCAATTTCCAAATATCATGTTTTTAATTACTACATTCAGCAATGTTAATTATATTTATATATCTTAAAGATAATTTTAAATATAATGAACAATAGATGTAATATATTATTAAAAATATTAAATACAAAAATTTTATTTATTTATCAATATATCATCAAAATTATTAATAATTCATGAACCGTAAGGCATTAACCAAATATTAAAAACTTCTAATTATGCATTGGTCTTATTTGGTATAAATACTTATTTTTAATTATGAAAATTAATTAATAATTAACAATGATTTTATATTATTGTATTTACAAATTCATCAGCTTACCGAATATCTAGAATTTGATTTATCGACACAAAACATATATTAAAAAAACTTTTGTCTTGAATCTCAATAATTAGTATTTAATCTATTTAAACCAAATTACTTATCAAATTATATTTGTAAAATTATATCATATTTTAACGACTACTCTTATTTTTTAGATTTATAATGTATTTGAATTACAAAGTTTTGGTTTTGGCCTTTACAAACAACGTAACCAAAAAGATGAAATTATATCATCACGCAGCAGAACAATTCAAGGAGTAGGATTAAAGCATGGAGATATGTTATATCTATCACCGATTAATGGTGCTGTACTTTGGGATACTAAATCAACTAACAATGCGTCCAATGATACCTCATCAGGTATGTCTTATTTACAGTAAAATTTTAACCTTAAAATTGTAAATTATAAATTGATAACTAAAACTAATTATTTTAATATTATTCTATAGTAGGAAAAAATGTTATGAAAAAACATAAATACTCTTACTCTAAATTTTTATAAGTATAGTATAAATAAGAAAGTATTATTAAATTATATAATTTCTGACGATTCATACCCAAAAATATGATTAAAATATAAAGCTATAATAAAACATAGATCTAAATAAATTTATGTCACAATTTTTAATTTATTTCAGAACCAATGGATGTCACTCCAAGTACAAGTAAAGTACAACAAGTTGTTAATAGTTCTTTGCGGTCATTAGCAAATTCGTTCGAAGATGAGGTTGATCAACAATTATGGAAGCAAAATGGAAAGATACAAAGAAAACGTGATGAGAAGTTGTAAGTGTCTTTGAATCATAAATTTGAAAATTAAAAGTGAATGTAGCCCGTATTACAGACCCTGGTAATATTTATCTCAAAAATGTACAATTTTGCTTCTAGTTGTCGACATGGCACAAATGCCTGTTGCGTTCACTGCTCACCATTGGAACCTTTTGACGAGGCACATCTCAAAGAGCAAAATATAAAGCATATGTCCTTTCATTCTTATCTAAGAAAACTTACAGCCGGTGTAGATAGGTAAAAAAATTAAGACATTAAATAATTAAATACAAAAATACTTTCAACCAATTGTAGCAATTAATTTATTATTATTGCTTTATAGGGGTAAATTTTTACAACTAGAAGACATAAGTTGCCGTATAAAAAGTGGTTGTAAAGATCACCCACCATGGCCCAAGGGTATATGTAGCAAATGTCAACCTAATGCTATAACTCTCAATCGACAACCTTATCGACATATTGACAATGTAATGTTTGAAAATGCTAATTTAGTTGAGCAATTTCTAAATTATTGGCGCATCACAGGACACCAACGTATTGGTTATTTATATGGGAGACACGAAGTACATTCGGATGTACCTTTAGGTATTAGAACAGTCGTAGCTGCAATATATGAACCACCTCAGGTAATGCACATTAAATTTAATTAATTTAAATATATTTATATAAATACAATAAGTTGGTTCATTTATAGTGTATCAATTTTAATATATATTGTTTTTTTTTCACATAATATCAGGAAAGTACAAGAGACTCAATCGTTCTTTTATCTGATGATAAAGAAACACAAATAGATGAATTAGCTCAATCATTAAATTTGAAGAAAGTTGGATGGATATTCACAGACTTGATTGCCGATGATGTTAAAAAGGGAACAGTAAGTGCTTTATTAATTGAAAACAAATATATTACTTTGTAAAATAATAATTATTATGTTTAATTAAAATATTTTTTATTTTAGGTGAAACATGTGAGAAATATTGAAAGTCACTTCTTATCCGCACAAGAATGTATTATGGCTGGTCATATACAAAATAAACTTCCTAACCCATGTCGTTTTTCACCAAATGGTCATTTTGGTTCAAAAGCAGTAACAGTTTGTGTTACCGGTAAATTTATGCAGTTTTATTTAAAACGTTTCATATATTTTACGAATTTGATTCAATACCGTTTATTTATCTTTAAAGGAGATGATAAAAATCAAGTACACATGGAAGGATATCAAGTAACTTATCAATGTATGGCACTAGTTCGAGATGGATGTTTAGTGCCAACAAAAGATGCACCAGAATTGGGTTATGTTATCGAATCAACAGATAAGCAGTTTGTCCCTGATGTTTATTATAAGGTAAGATTAGTTTTATTTTTAAAGCATATTATTCATCTTAAGTAAGCCACAAACATTATTACCATATAAATAGGTTATTCTTTCTTAGAATGAAAATGTCTGTAATGACTGTATGATATGTATATTTAATATTTATCATTTTGTGCATTGTAAAGTCAATGATCAGAGGATAAGTTATAGTTTTACATTTATTTACTTATAGATTTTAAATATTAAAAAAGAAGCACTATCAAAATTTATTCTCAAAGCACTTATTGATTTTAAATTATTTTTCTTTAAAAATAGAGCACTATATTGTTAAACTGATTTTAGACTGATTTTGAAGTTAAGCTATTTTTTATTGATAATTTAAAATTAAAAAAAAAAAGAAAAATACAACCTTAAATTTTATATAAAATGTGTCTTTAAAAAATAAGTTAAAATTAATGTTCTTTTATAGTTTATTAAAATAAATATTGTGGCAAGATTATATTTTTACGTAACTGAACATTTTTGGCCTTTGTGCTCAAACATATAAACATATTTATGCATCATTTTAATTAATTGTAAAGACTTTTAAAAATATTATGTTTCAATTATTTTATAATTTAAAAAAAAAAACCAATTTTATTGGATAAAAAAGGTGAATAAGGTTGTGAAAGAACAAAACAGTTTTGTTTGCACGAACAAATTAATTCATAACTGAAAATTGACGATTTAAAATTACATTAATTTGGGTAACGAGCGTACACTTGAATCGCAATTAAATAACTAATTCGTTTCGAATATATGTGCTCCACCGGCGTTTACGCGTTAGCCCATGGAGGAATAGACCCAAAATCGTTGAGTCAGGAACAAAAAAGAATATATGTACGGCCGTCGTATACTCTCGTGTTTCGCCAGAGAGTAAAAAAACAAAGCAAGTTTTTATTTATTTCCCCAAAGGAAAAAACGGAAAATAGTATATATAAAGCTCTTTCTTCATCGCAATTTATCGCTGCTTTGTTCGTATTAGTTTTTTCATCATCGCTATGTACTATTTCGTATCCCATTCGAAAATTGGAATCGGTGGTTTTTTTTTATTTTTATTTTATTTTTTATATCGGTAAGAGGGAAAAAACGGCTTCAAAATCGCGTTATTTATTACAAGCTACGCGTTGTTACCTCGTCAACTTCATAAAAATATATATACAGATGGCCTATACTTCCAGTTTCTCCTTGCGTAGTATCATTTTATTATTATTTTATTAACTTTTCCTGTGATAAAGAGACTGGTTTTTTTTTATAATCGTCATTTTTTTAAATACAACTTCGTACATAGCTAATATAATATTTCGTCGTTGAACGCGTTTTTCGTGATTTATAATATGAAAACCAAAATTAAGAAGAGAAACTTATCGTTCGAGCAACGCTTGTATTTGTATTTTCTTTTTCTTTTTTTATACAGATTTTTTATACTTGCTTCGCTTTGCGCGCTCTTGCACAATTACGTTTTTATCGTCTAAACGGGCGTCATTTGTTTTTACACATTATTTTCCTCTACGCATTCTTTATTTACTCGATTCTCCCACCCCATCGTTTTACACTCGTCGCAACTCTTCGTAATCGACATTGGGCCGTGCGATACACAATTATCATTTAGTCAGATACACAATTAACAGCGTTAAAACTTTTAAGTTCAACATCGAATGAGGTTCTCTTCTTTAGAAGGCATTCTCTCGCGACGATTTTTGTCTACATTTAATCTCGACGAGAATATGCTTACATTGATTAGTTTTACAGAAACAGAGCCACCTTAAAACCACGTTACGAGAATGAAAAATGCTCTTTCGCTTTCAAAATTTTACAGTATCATCATTTCTCTTTCGACTCATGATCATGAAAAAGACAACGTTATGCGCACTATTATTAGTAGATAAGATAGTTTGAATCCTTTTTTTTAACTACGTTTTGTAAACTTAAATTTTATTGGAAGACTATCTTATGGAATGTTGAGGAAAAAACATGACCAACTTCTCTATCAATCATCGACAATAGCTGTTTGGAAAATGCAAGCAAAAGAATAAATTTTTCTTTTATTTTACGATATGAGATTTGAAATGGCTTTCACAATCACTGCACAAATATATCTGTGTTTTTAATAGCTCGTTTTCAAACTTTTGTTTTTTGTTATTGTTTTATTGATCTTTCAAACTTTGTTTAAGGTGACTCATATTTTGCTTAAATAGTTACAATCGTTTAAACGCGTTCTGTGGATACGTAATACACAGTAGTAGGTAGTATAGCAATAGTATCTGTCTCGCTTTCTCTCTCGTTTTTATTTTTTCACCCTAAAACGTGGCATATTCGTGTGTATAACGTGTGTGTGTGTGTTTTTGCGTCTGTGTCATAAGTGGGGCTTTTCTTCGTGTTGTGTAATATTTTATCTTTTTCTCACGTTTTGTATACTTGAACAATGTGTTTTCTTTTTTATCATTTTTCGTATTTCGTGGTATATAGTACAATAACGATGGAATTTACGAGGATTTACATATGAATAGCACATAACATATTACATAATCGGAGTATTTTCCGATATAGAGCATCAAGGAATGATTCCGTTAAATACACAGACTTTCGTACACGCGCGTCTGTACTATTTATTAATCTTTTTTTGTATTTATTTTATTCTTTTCAGCCGAAAGAACTCTCACTTTCCCTCTAAAAAATGTTCTCGTTATACGCATTATCATTATCCTTTTCATTTTATCGATGAGAAGGCGAATCTCAGCCCAAGGAAATTTTGCGCTATCAATCTTCTACGTACGTATACCTTTTCGCATCACTTGCACGTATGCTATATTAATTAATTCGTAAACACACTTGCGTAAAACATGCACTCTAAAGACACACAACGATACGTTTTAACCGGCTTTATCAACTTGTGATTCGTTCTCCACAATGTAACATTCAAGTTTCGTTTGTTATTCTTTATAATTCACCATTTCTTTTTAGGCCTTTGCTCGTGTTAAATTTACGCTTACACTTGACGTACGAGACCTACTAACTTTTCCATACTTATTCGTTATCGTGTAACTTCACTTCTATTTAAATCATCTTTAAATACGCGATTATAACATTACAGACTCGTTAGTTTAATGGAGAGCAAAACTAGATCGAGAGCTAATCGATAGGGACATATCTTTTCTCTTTTTATTTGGATTCGCACGTCTTTCGCTTTCTTTTTTTCTTTTTTCTTTGTTTGTTTGTTTTTTTTGTTTTACCTAAATTACGCACTATTTCGCTGCGTAGTGATCACATTAATACAATATATTTATATTTACGCTCCCTTGGCGGCCTCTCAATCTGTGTCTTGCCTCTGGAAGGATACACGAGCTTTTATTAATTTTTTCATTACATCTCCTCCTCTTTCCTCGGACTCTACGTCGAACCACGCATAATCGCATTTTTTCGGCCCAAAAACATACAAGTCCAGTCTAAAAATATATATATAATATATATATATATATTTATATGTGGCTGTGAATGTGTGTGTGTGTGTGTGTGTGTGTGTGCACAATTGCCTTCAATGTATATATTTTTTCGTTTATGATATTTATTTTAATAATTCATATTAATCTTCATACTTACATGCGTCGTGGCTAAAGATTAATTTCTACAGGTAGCAGTTTTTTTCGGTATATGTTTATTTATTATATGTAACGAATTTAATACGAGTATTTTTTGTTATTAATAAATAGATTATAATTCATCCTTGTTTATTCTATATTTTCATTAATGAATTACGATATCAATAATTACGTATTTAAATTTAAAAAAAAGTTATTCCTTTGATTTAAATTTTTAGAAGAAATTCTTACATAAATATTATATGACAATAAATAATAACTGTATAAATAGTCAAAATAAAACTATTTTTAATAAAGTAGAATTAAAGTTATTTTTTTTAATAACAATAGTTTTATTTAATAATCCTGTTGAAATAATATATATTTATAACTTTATGGGATAATAAATCAATGAATTAATTCTTTTTCATATTAATCATTATTATTAATATTATATGGCGTTAAGTATTAAAATAAAAAATACCTAATTAAAATAACAAAAAGTACTCGTTACTATACCGTGTGTATATTATTATCGTGCAATACACGATTTCGAAAAAATTGTTGAATCATTTTTTGCTTCATTAATTTCAAGTTACATTTCAACTAGTACGTGTATCCGTGTATAAATGTAATATACACATACGATAGCGAAAATAAACCTCGGAGCTTTTAGAATTTCTTTCTGTCACACACTCTCTCTCTCTCTCTCTCTCTCTCTCTCATCGTCATCGGCTAAAACTTACAGCATTTTTCATTCTAACTACGAGTCGCATCGATTTGAGGTACGTGTATATGCGTCGGTTCAAAAAATTTCGCATCGCTCGCATTTAGACAAATTTGTATTACATTTTTATATTCTTTCCACACTTTAAGTGTACATATACGTATATATGCGCATACGTTTTTATGTATATGCATAATTTCTTTACTCTTTAAATCGTTACAATAGAACTTGACTCGCTTTCATTAGGAAAATATCGATATTTATCATCTACTATCGTCATCTCAATAATTACGTCTTTTGTTTCAATAATCCGATTTTCTCAATATCATTTTTTTTTATTTACCTTTTTCGATAAACTCGTTCACGCTTTAAAAATAGATTTTAACCTCTTTAGAGACTTTGTAAACGTTTAAATACTCGCTTACATTGTCGTACTCATAAAGAAATGGACTTTCCTCCGTTCCCTCATTTTTCTTCGTTCGATAATAATAATTCGACAAACAGGCGCGCGCGCGAGATTATATTCGACTTATTTTTCGTTAAATCAGCATCATTATTATCATTAACACCCCGTTCGCCTTACTTATAAACGTATCGTCGTAATTTTACGAGAAAAAAAAACAATAAAAAAAAATAGATAAAAAAAAGGAAGGAAAAGCTCTAAAAGGCAAAAGCCTCGTTAGCATGGAGCCTTCGTTACAGTTTACCGCACTTGGTGATAAGGATCGTCTTGGTCGGTTTGCCAGTCTGATCACCGTAGGTCGATATTTTTTCGACGAGATCAAGACCCTCGACGACATGGCCGAAAATGCCAGTGAAGCCCCTCATCTCTTGCAGTATTATGCGAAACTGCGAACCTACCATGCCCAAGTTGTCGTGTCTCTTTTGCGTTCTCCTCATGCCAACGGCTCCCCTCACCGCCGGGAATTTGGTGTCATCAGGCATAAAGTAACCGTCCTCGAAGATACTCCTGCCGCCCCTGCCGTTGTTAAGCTCAAAATCACCGGTTATGACACTCTCGCCCTCCCAGCACTGGAAGATCGTACAGCCCTTGTAGCCGACGCCGACTTCACCCGTCGCCAACACGCTGAAGTTCTTGGCCATCTTCGGCGCGGCATCAGGTCTAACTTCGATGACGATTCGGCCGTGAGGCGAGCCATTTACTTCGATGTTAAAGTAATACATAGGATATGGGTTGGAGGGCCCTCTCAGACCGGATGACTGCTGGGCCGAGTGGACCGCGACGAGGCCGCCGCTGCTGCCCGTAGCATCGCCCGGGCTCATAAAGTTCGTGGCGGCGTTCTGTTGGAGGATGGCGTTGGGCGGCGGTGGAACTATCGTCGGCTTAATTGATGGCGAGCCCGGCGATATAAGTAATTGCTGCTGCTGCGGTGTCGGAGGCTGCGGTTGCTGCTGCTGCTGGGGTTGGGGCTGCTGCTGCGGCGGCGGAGGCGGGACGGTCGCTGCTACGTGGACACTAGACACCTGGGCGGGTATGTGATACTCGATCGTTGACACGCCATTCTGGAGGTGTTGCTGCTTGCTCACTACGTGCCTCGAGTACAGTTGAGACATGCAGTAGTTAGCGAGGAAAAGTATGGGATTTTGAGACGCTGCGATGTGACTGGGTAAACGTCCGCCGTTACCAGGCTGTTGCGTAACCAGCGACTCGCCCGAATGAATGCCGGCGACCGCTTGCTTTAGCAGAGCGAAATCGAACACGACGCCGGAATTGCCGATGAGATCATCGAGCTGGCATTGAAGCATCATTTCTTGGTACTTGGTCTGTAGCCTCTGCTTTTCAAGCATCAGCTCAGTGTGCAAAGAGTAAATATCACCCGGACCGTCTGACAATTGAAGGGAGGTCTTGGCCTTGCCGAGAGTCTCACGCGCGTCCGTAATTTCCGGAAAGTGGCTCCAGCCGTTCTGGAGATCGGTTTCCACGTGGGTCTTCAAAGTCACGCAAGCCTCAAGAACCTTGATGAGAAAGTCGCGTTGTTGCATTGCTAGTCGTTGTATCTCTGCCGAAAGTTTGCCCATTGCCGCTAATTCCAATTGAACCTAATGATTTTTCAATTGGTTGTAATTATGAAGGTAAATTATGTTTTCATTGTGAGGTCAAAAATTATACATTAGGTGATAACATGTTTCTGAACAGATCATTAATAATAGATTGAAGAAAGTAGAATATTAAGTCTGTTGGTTGAATGCCTAAGGATATTAACGATGACTTACATCAGACATGAGTTGTTCCTTAGCATCAGTTTGTGATTTAATCTGGTGACCGGGATGCTCTTGTGGTGATGCACAGGCTCGACAAAGGGCTGTGCAACATGTTGCACACCAAAGTGCCAATGGCATTCCATGAGTGTGACAATTTTCGCTCTATAAAAGTAGAAGATAAGAATATTACGTTAAACTCATTAAACATAAATTTCACAATAAAGGGGAGCGTTAATTCTTATAATCAATTTTCCATTGCTTTTTAAATATTTGGAATGTATACTATACAATTATGCAAAATTAAGTCATCGTTATGACTTTATCCTGATGACTGACTTTATCTAAAAATACACTAGTACATAACAACTAATTATTTTGTTCTTAAAAAATTGAATTTCTTTTTATCTGTTACCGATTCAAGATATTTTCAAAATAAAGAGCATATAAAAATTTGATACTAAGGCTATTAAAAAACTTGTTATTTATGTAAGCCACCATCAAGTGATTATCATCGCAGACTTTTAAACTATTGATTCAATCAGTGCTATAATACGATTCAATTAATCAAATTTCTGACAATTTACCAAGGAATTTCGTTTCCTTACCTTTCTCTCTTTTTCACTGGGCTTCTGAGTAACATTGTTCTGCGTTGTTTTGAGATGAGAAAAATTATTGGCTAATGCTAGGAGAGGCGAATATGTTGGTAAAGCATCGGGTCCTTGATCACCCAGTTCTGTTCTTTTCCAACAATGAGCACAAAAGAGCTCGCGTCCTTTCAACAGATTATTCTCTATGCAGCGCAGGCAAAAATAGTGCTTGCAGCTAAGAAACTTGGGGCATTGCTCTGTGTCATTGTACTTTTGTTTACAATAGCTGCACAACGTCAACTCCTCCAGGTCCGTCAAAACGTTTGGATCCAGCATCTGAAGTTAAAAAAAATTGATATCTATAAAAACATATTTAAATAATAATAACAGAAAATTGTATTATCATTATGTAATTTTACGCCACTAATGAGATTTTTATTTATTCAAATCGTGGATAAAAAATTAATACTAGTATCACAACAAACATAATTAATGAATGAAAATACCAAACTTTCAAAACGAACGAAATAAAATTGTAATCGTGACCTAAGTATATTTAAATATCTTGAAGTAATATCCGACAAATTGAATAATTCAATCGAATTTTAAACAGTAAAGAGTAAAGCTGATCCACGTATAATCGATAATATAATGAATGTCTTAAACAAAAGCACCACTCGGTTTGGGCGCAATCGTATACAATTTTGAAAGTCCAGTTACAACTACTCGAACCTGCTCTAATTAAAAATTCCAATTATACCGTAATATATGCAAATTATTGGATTAAACAAAGCCGCGCGAGAAATTTGATAATTCGAATGAAAAATTCAATGTAGAAAATAATAATGAAAAACATAATGAAAAGGCAATGAAAATAAGTGTGATAAAGGATAGAAATTGGGAAAAGTAGAATCACTAAATGGCTCGGCTCTGTCGTATATTATCAACTCATTACTTTGGACGCGCCGAATTAATAAGACTGCAAAGATATGTTATGCAACCAAGAAACCGAGTTAGTCAACTCGCGATCGTGTTATGTGCTCGAAGAGTAAGAGAGAAAGGTATCGCGATTTCAGCATGTGCATGTAATTTCATAATTATTCGAATAAGTGTACGACCGCTCCATTCTATTTTACGTTGGGTAATTGAAAGTATAGTAGAGCAAATGAATAATTTCATTGATTGTGTACAACACCTTGATAATTTCGCGTGTCACACATGCTTTTGCTGCATTATTTGTGCTAAATTGTTATCTCTCGACAGAACGACGCGTGTAATATAACAATTGAAAGCAGCTAAACCGAAATAATAGGGGAGCAAAATTTCAAAAACTTGAAAAAAGTAAAATATGTAACGACGATCTTCCACTTGTTTCTGAAATCGCTTCAATTAACAAGGACAACACATGCACATGTCGGAAGGAAGAATGTAAATAATAAAAAGTGACACTGCGGCAAATACGCCGGGACGCACGCAGGCGCTTGAAGTCCCGCCAAAACTTATTGTGTTGCCGACTTGAGGGGGTTGCCGCCGTAGCCACCGTCACCGCCGCTGTGAAATAAAGATAAAAAATCGATGTACTCTCGCTGTCTTCCTTTCTCGTCCATTCTCATGGGAGAGGTAGAAAAAAAGTCGAGGCAGAAAAGTTGAGCGAACAACACTGGCGAAAGGGGAAATAAAGCAAGGAGGCGCCCACGAGGGAGAGTCGAAGGCACGTATACGCGCGCCAATACGAGCAGCGTGTAGCGCACGCACGATGGCAACTCTCGACGAGCAATGCAAGAGCAAAAAACTGATAAAAGAAGCTGAATTAGCCGTGCATTATTTGCGACAGCACTTTTCCCGCAAAATTGCTGCTTGCTTGCGCTTGATCTCCGCGTGTTTTATTATTCGCGCAGCGAGAAGAGCCTCGTAAAATGGGGGTGACAATCACAATGGCCATTGACAATCACCAAGATACGAGAGAAAATTAGAACACCGGTCAATTTCCGTCATAACGAACTAGAGATAATTTATGTAAAAGCCCGCGGGAAGGCAGCAGATTTTCCCTCGTTATGAGCGTCGATGAGAGCAATCGAACGTACACACACTACTCGTGTCGCACGCACTTCTCTCTTCTCTCTCTTTTCTCACTCGTCGACTCGAACGAATCAACGGCCTAACAATCGCACTCTCATTCTTCTCTCCTTCTCGCCTTCTCTCTTTAACCTTCGCGCGGCAGGCGATTCCATGCGCACATAGACACGAGGTGCTCCTCGTTGTTGCGTTGTTAACCAGTTAGTAGAGCGGCTAAATCTCATGCGCAAGATCAAATAAACAAAAGAAAAGGTTAAATAACAGTAAATGGCAGCGACTAATATGAAAGCGCACGCGAAAATGATCTCCTTTCGATGACTGCCCGTGCGTGTGCACGCATTTACCGTGTCTAGCTTAGCAAGTCGCAGCGCGCGCTTACTCGGCGACGTCTTCACGCACTCTCTCCAGCTCGTGGTGCTTGTTCTCTCTCTCTCTCATGCACACTCGCGCATGTACAGGCAAAACTCTCACTCTCACTCACTCACTCACTCTCTCTTTCGCTCGCTCCTTCGCTCTCTACCGACGACGTCGTGGCCTTGGCATGGAGACGGATGAAGAGAAGAAAGAGATGGAGGAGGAGGGAGAGGTTAAGAAGGAAGAGATGGAGGAGAGCCGAGTGGTTGAATCTGCCTTCGCCTGGCAGACTTTTATCTCGGACGTCGTCCTCGTCCTCGTACCTGCACACCACCAGCTCGACATTCGACACCGCGATTTTGTGTACACAGAAAAAAGAAAGGAAGTAAGAGAAAATGAGAGAGAGAGAGAGAGGACTGGCACAGGGACAGACTCTCTCATAGGAATCCTACGCGTAGACCATGCGGAGAATAGATGCCTCTCCACGTTCTTTTCCCCGTTGTTATCCTGTAGTTGTCGTCGTCGTCGTATTCGCAGTCGCAGTCGTAGTCGCTGTTATTGTTGTTGCGATGTCGTTGTCGTTATCGTCGTCGTCGTCGTCGTCGTCGTCGTCGTTGTGTGGTGGTTGTCCTCGTCCTCGTCGTCGTCGCTTGACCGGAGCGCACGCGCGCGTCTTTCACTCGTCGCGTGTCGCCAACTACTTCTTTCTTTTTGGCACTAGTAGCAGCCTGTGCTCTGCGGCCAACTAGCGCTCTACCTACCTACTACACCACACACACAGAGAAAGAAACTCTTTTCGCATACTAAACCCGTACGAACTCTCCCTCTTTTTCACTACTCTACGCGCGTGCGTGCCTCTGTCTGTGTGTGTGTGTGTGTACGATGTATGCAAGTATATATATATATATATATATATATATATATATATGCTTCATTCTTGCTCGCTCTTGTTTATATTTCGATATTATTGACGGTCGCGAGGGTCAATATTACCGTCACATTGGGGATTTATTTGTTAGACAAGTATAAGCGGAAACAAATTCGTCCACCTTCCTTCGCTTCGACCGCTACTCAAAATTGCAGCTTTTGTAAATGACGAATACAATTTAAGTTTTATTTCCTTTGTGGTCCGTATCGCGAGCATGCAATAAAAGTGCGTGATGAATCACGGGAATGATTAAAATTTTTCATTAAACTGTAAATTAAATGCGGCGACAATCATATGCTGATAGTTAAGTTAAATGCCGGCGAAATGACTTCTGTAAAAGTACGTGAATCATCATCGTATATCGCGCGGGTAGTCGCCTCGAGAGCATGAGAATGATAACGAGAAACAGCAGTGGCGAGTGTTGGTGCTCGAAGCGCGTGGAATACCGGCTATCACTTTGACCTATTTTTCCATAAATAATGCGATGCCGCTAATGTTTAAACAATCGGCATTTCCAAATTCAAAATAGCCGGACAACATTTTAATAAGCGACGACGTAGGCCTACCTGGAATAACAATATCATTTGCGAATACCGGGAACGCGGTTGATCTCGCATGCACGTATGCCGTAGTCACGTGTGCACGCTACGACGAATCGATCCGTAGGATCCCGAGAATTTCGACATGGCCAGGGAAATATTATAGGGCACCTTCTCGTCGAGTGAAGCGCGAGCTGACGATGCACGTCACGATCCCCAGTGAAATACTCCCGCCGTCCGCCGGCGTGTCGTCCCGCCCCCCAGAAGCCAAATAAAATGATAATAAAGGCATGGAGGGCCTCTGACGGTCGCAGACAGCATCGCGAAAAGTTACCGCCGACTTTTGACCGTTTGATGCTTGACACATCTCCAGCCGTCCCAACGCGTATTCTACTACTGGCTGCGATCAGCCACCCAGCCAGCCAGCCAAACAGACAGGGATGGAGAAAGCCGCATTGCATGCACACTTGGGGATAAACACCGTCGAAGGTGCGCCCGCGCACCCCGGACGTATATACCAACTGACATTAAGAGGAGCCGAAGACGAAGACGAAAACGAGGGCGAGTGTTCGGCTCGAGTTGTGTGATTCGTGAGAGGGAGCCGCGATAGGCGGCAGCCAGCGACAACGGCGGTAGCGGCGGTCCTTTTTAGCCGGAGGTGCTCTAATATCCAACCAACGAATATATACAAACTAGTCGGCGAGCACACGCTCTTCGTTTTCGGCCGACGACAAGAAAATCAACACTGACAGCGTCCACACGACACTCGTGCCACATCACGATGTTCGTTACATTCCTTATTCCATCTCCATCTCCTCGTTCGCACTCCTCCCCTCTTTCGCGCGCACACACACACACACACACTCTCATTTTTTTTTATTTTATTTTTTTTTGTATTTGCTTTTTTTATGCTCTGCCACCGCCTCTTCCACCTCTTTCCTTCACCGCGATACTTCCCTTCCCGCCTGCCACTCACCCATTCCCGTATATCACACAATTTGTCGTTCTAATACATTATGGACGTAAGGTATTAAAGTCGTAGAATGATGAAAACTAACCACTGCTACTGGCATGGCGCTGCACCAAAAGCCCACGTCTCCGACGATGGTCCGTTTCGTACGTGCGCTGGCCGCGCGCGCGTTTTTCAACGCGTTCTCGCCGTACAGTAGCGCGCGCGCACACGCACACACAATGCTCGCAATACTGCCCTAAGTGTGCAGCGCTGCTGTTGCTGCTGCTGCTGCTGCTGCTGCTGCTGCTGTTGCTGTTGCTGTTGCTGTCTCGCGCCCTCCTCCTCTTCCTCCTCTCACAAAGTCCCCGCGCGCGCTACCGCTCTGCCTCTCTCTCTCTCTCTGCCGCCCCGGCTCACGATGGCGCGTTTATCTTTGTCGGCCAACGTCGTCCAGTGGGTCGCGTAGCGCCTGCGCCCGATCCCCCGTCACTACTCCTCCTCCTCCTGCTTCCTCCTCCCGACCGTCGGTCGGAGTCTCTTCTATATGCTTTGTCGAGGGAAGCAGCGAAAATCCATGGATGGTGGTGTGCGACGAGAGCCACTAGCGACCACGACGGCAAGTTTCGCAGGCTCACGCGAGAGCCCACTTCGAACGCTGTCGTTGTTCGCGGTTGTCAATAATGTCAAAAACGACGGACGGGCGAATCCGGGCCCGATTGGCGTGGCGCGCGACGCCGGTCGTCGACTAAGCCCTCATTGTCATCGTCGTCATTGCCGTCATTCTCGTTGTTGTTATCGTCCTCGTCGTTGTCGACGTCGTCCACCTTCTCCTCCTTCTTGGCATCGCTCGGTGTGCAATCTCCTCCTTCTCTCCTTCTTGGGCGACCACCGGGACGAGGCCTTGGCCCCTGACCCGGGTTGCACATGCACCGGTTGGCCGGCAACCCCTCTTACCTGTCGACGCCGAGCGCCACCGCCACGGCTTTTGTCTTCTCGCGCACGCTTCTTCCACCTCCCCCTCCCCCTTACTCCGCCCAAGCCCACATGTAATGCCTGCACCGACGACGCGGCCCCGCTGACGTTCGACACCGCCGGTTACCGTTCGGCGAACGCGATACCCGCGGCGACAACGACGGGGCGATGACAGCAACAGTAGCACTGCCGCGCGCCACTTGGACTTCCTTTCTCTCAACGGCGAAATTCGCTTACGCAATTTCACATGGGATGGAGCCGACAGGCAACAGCCGCGCGCACAACCCAGCAACTTTGCAAGTGCCGGCGAGACGCACACGAGTCCTCCCCTCCAATCCCCGCGATCGTACGCTCATGTCACACTGGCAAAGCGGTCGGTCGAGCGACACTGGCGCGCTCTGGCGCCACACCGCCATGTAGGCGTCGCCAGGATTACGGATTGGGATTCGCACAACGCGCGAATATACGAAGCTGTTGGCGACGAGGAGTTTCGCGGACGGCCACGGTATCCGCTGCGACTTTAAGTCCTCGCCTCGTAGGATGTTTAGATCGCCAACATCTAAATACTCAAACTACTGTCGTTGCGTGGGCAAACATTTTTCTCTTTTCGCTGCCTTGCGCTACCTTCCTTCTTTCCTTTTCATTGGCATGTGTTTGGCGATGATGAAGGGTAATTTTGAGTATCGGATGGTGGTCGATTGAATGCTCGTTAATAGGGAGAAAGAATCGTAAATCCGTAGCACTGCTTGAAAAGCAGGCGGAGAAAGTTAATTTACAACTTTTGCGAATAAATTGCTTGTGTGGAGCACTGCAAAATGGTGTCGAGAGACTTGCTGAATTCGATTTGAATAAGTTAAAATAAATTACAATATTGAAGCTATTAAATGAGCGAATATTTGTGGAAAATTGTATAAAATTGTAATTTCAATATTCTCGAAACTCCAAACTTTGCTAATTTCATATTATTTTATTAAAAGTTACTTGCAATTTAGATATGCATAGATGCACTTTTTCTTGTTTCTTATTTCGCTTAATTCACCATACAATTTTTATGATGTATACGAATGAGTAATATATATATATATATATAGATGTTTGCGTGTTGGGTCGGGTGCATTTATTACCCGAGCGAAAAGCCTTATTTTATTACTTTTATTTTGAAAATTAAACCATAAATGTAAATCTCTTATTTGCATTCACCCTAACTCCAGGAATGAATGTTGAATGTTGAGCGTATACCTTTTCTCTTACCTATTTATATATTAAAAAAAAAAGAAATAAATAAAAAAAACAAACAAACAGGTATTAATGTTGATATTTATTATTTTTATACCAAATAATTGCAATGTATAATAATTAAAATTTATGTCTGAAAAAAATTCTTTGCGACACTAATTATTCAACAATTTTCCAGGAAAAGGACACATATGGAAATGAAGTCTCCAGATTGGCTAGACCACTTCCTGTCGAATATTTGCTAGTCGACGTTCCAGCATCAACACCATTAACGCCTCAATTTACTTTCTATGCTAAAGATAATATAACACCATTCCCTATTGAAAATAGGTACGCTCCTTTTATTTCAATAAGTTCAATAAGTGTTAAAATAATTCTATGTCAAATATCAATTGTATCGTATAAAATAGTAATGCAACATATTAATGCTCTGTTAGAATGATCGATGGCCAATTCCAAGAATTCAGTTCCTTGTGCTCTTACATGCAGCAATTTAATTCCGATCAGTTTCTTGAAGCCGTATCTGATTTTCATCTACTCATATACATAGCTTTTATGGATATGTTGCCTCTAAAGGTATGTAGTCAATTAGAATGTATTGTTTATAAGTTCATAGGTACTCTTATACAATTATAATTATAAATGCCAATTTTGGCTGTTTTATATCCAGAAAGTGAAGCAACAATAAAAGAGAACAGTAGTGATTTTAGACTTGAATCTACGCTGAATATTTGTAATTACCTATAGTTGTATAATAAAAATATTACTAATTTTTTTTATAGAATTTCATGGGACCATTATTGGAAGCTATTCGTACAAACGATCGTCAAAAAGCTGCTGAATGGGCACGCTCGGAACATTGGGCTACAGTCGAAGAACTCATTTCAGCAACATCATCCGTAGGCCCTTCGTCTCGCAATGCAGTGTTTGGAAGTAATGTAGCGGGCTCTGCATCTAGTGGAATCGGCATTGGTACTGCAACTGGATCTTCCGATGACTCCAGATCCGATCGAGCATGGTGGACTTGTGCACATTGTACTTTCCTTAATTCTGCAGAAGCAAACATATGTGATATGTGTGGTTTGCCGAGGTGAATTTCACAATTTTACCATGTATTTTAAAGGTGGTCGCAATAACAATGATTTTGAAATGAAAATTTTTAAACTCAGATGATGTTTACTGGAGTTAGTTTGATATTTTATTTATATAAAAGAAATTTATGAGAATTTTATTTTCAAAATTTTAACTTTTAAATATATAAGAATTTTATTATATAAAAGAAACAATCCATACGATATGCTTAATTTAGTGTAAAAGTTTTATTACAGTATACCCTATGTTTATAAACATTCCCATCTCTTTCTTGCAACCTTTTCTGCGCACAATTCAATAAAGAATGATAAATTTGTTGGTATTTAGAATGTAGGTAATAAAATGTAATTAAAAATTATATTCTCGTCAAAACACAAAAGCATCTCTTAAAACATCATATTTAAATTCATTTTATCTTCATTTTAAAATTATTACGTTTTAGTGCTTATAAGTTTTTATTTACTTACACAGGATTTGATGCATGCAGTACTTTAATGAAAACTCTTGCCTACTAGTTATGGAAATTATTTGTTCAAGCCAGTTAAACTTTTTAAAATTCTCCTAGATTGTTTTTAAAATTTCTTCTTTTGTTTGCTTAATTATTTGGTGTTCTAAGACACAGTACTTCGTATATTCTAGAATGCCGATGTAAATTTTCAATAAGATTAAATCATGGAGATTGAACATAAAGCAGCACATAATGATCTATACATTAAATGATGACTGATTACTATACTAGCCACTCAGCATTCTTATTGAAATTTGTATTAACAAAGAACAAACATGGATAAACAAGAAAACTGTGATATGGAAAGGAAAGACATCTCGTACAAACATGGACATAACTGCAAGGTTTACAAAACCTTTATATGTAATTTATTGTGACATTACAGATGTTTTTGCAAAAATGATTTTTTTGATTTATTCGCTAGTAATTAGCGAAGAACAAAAATACATTAATACTAAAGTCATGTAGGTAACACTGAAAGGAAATAAGAAATTTTCAATTTGATATTGAATTTATTTATACAAAACCTAATCCACAATTTCCAGTCCAATAAACTTTTTCGCTTCAAATTTTCTCACTTATCCTACTCACTATTGAATCTAACAGACTAGGAATATTTGATTCTTCGTTACATATTTTATAAGTCTTTTTTATTAAACTTATGTCAGAGAAGTCAGAAAGCCTTGATATTGGTATTCGTGTACCCTCGATGCAGTCGAAAACAAGTTTTTCCATAGATTCTTTCTCTTGTGCATCATGAATTAAAATAACTAAAACATTTGCAGTGTCTTTCGAAATACCAAATGCTGCTAATGATTGAGAAATATTTGTTGATATTGACAAACAATATATAATTTCTGTATATAAATTTCTTGCGACCATTTGCCCATATTTTTCGTTTAATGCAGCCTTATTTGCAGCGATAACAATTTGAAAAGGATCTAATATTAAATTTGCTTTAACGATGCAGCATGGAAGTTCTTTATTTAGCAGTTTCTTATGTAATTCATCGATATTTTGTATATTCCTATACAAATAAATACTGAGTTGCCTGTTCGTCAATGCATCCAATTCCAAAGTGTAATTTTCAAGTTCACAATTTTCTACCATCATCACGAAAATCTATATGCAACAATTACTATAATTATATAAGACAAACAATATATATTACCTTAAATTATTTATGACCATAGACATAGTACAGACATATGTCATTTACCTGTTGATAGTTCAATGTAATAAGCGGACTATAAAAATCATTCTTTTTTTATGGGTGTAATAGGATTTAATCTTAAATATATTTTTTTTTATTATTTAACAAACGGAAGAGAATTGTAAACTAAAAATTTGTAATACGAATGATACACCCAATGAACTTTTAACATAACTATAAACTATTGTTAAAGTACTTAAAATATAATGTTATTGATATGTACAGTTTTTGAAATTGACGTTAATGTATAACATAATTGATTATTGTTTTAGATAAGTAAAATTTGTATTAAATAACTAATATTGTAATACGACAACATTAGATATTATTCTCAAAGACTCGAATAACCTACACTTATTACGTAGGAACTTTGATGTGTAAATTACAAGAATAAATTGACAGACATATAAGGAGAATAAAAGCAAAATAAAAAAATCAATATAACCTTTTACTATTTTGCATATAGAAAGTTGAAATTTATTGGCTCATAATGAGTAATGCACGATAAATAAGAAATCATAAACGAATCAGTAATTTATTGTACTACGATAACAGATGGAGGCGCCTCTAGTGGTTAGACCAAGACGCAAATGTATATATATATATATATATATATATATATATATATGTATGCACACTCGCACGCACACGAACACACGCACAAACAATAATATAGTGTAAATATTAAATCTAAAATTGGAAACAAATTGTCTAATTAGTTTTTAAATACATCATTCAAAGTTATAATTTATATTTTATTTTGTTTAATAGTGACATTATTTGCCATTGAATTTTTCTTCTAATTGATTTTCGATCATATTAATCTATACAAAATCAAATACACATATATACTACTACTAAAAAATAAAATATTGAATATTTAAGCGTATTATTAATTCTCTTTTATATCAAGATCACATTAGTTTTTTTAAAATAATTTTCGTATTCAAAACATCAGCATCTTAATGTATTATATAGAATTTATAAAGTTTAAAATCTCGTCATTTTATTTTTTAAATGCATAAGAATGTCTTCACTGCGTTATAAAGATGTACTCGATTTAAAGTTCATTTTAAACGTTATAAAATTTAATTTTTTAGTTAAAATAGTAATTTTCTTTACTGAAAATTAATTGTAATACAACTTTTGTATAATAAACCATCTTGTGAGTTTATAAAATAAATGTTTTTAAAACAAATTTTATGGATAGAGTTTATTTAATTTATCAAATATATTATAGTAAAAAAGTAATCATAAAATTAAAAACTCACCAATTAAATAGAAATGAAAGGCTGTATTTGTTTTAATTATACAATTAGAAATTGAAATAAATTTTTATAACAAGTTGATTTATTTTTTTCAAATACTTTCTAAGGCTTGAAAAGAATAAAATTCTTATTTATTTACTTTTTCAATCACTTGCATTAATAATACCATTCAAAAATATCATTGGCATAAAAAATATTGCTATATCGAAATTTTTATTTGTGAAATTCAACATTTTCATGCAACGAATAAACAATTCTCTTGTCAAAGAATAAGTTCATTTAACATAAATAAAAAAGTTTATATGCGACTAAAGAAGAATTTTCAATTGACATACACTTGAAATTCACTATGAATTTATAGTATTACAAATTACTTAATGCAAAGGCTACGTTTAGTCGATAATATTTATTAAAAATAGGATAAATTTCATGAAACGAAAGTAAGTATAAACTTGTAATATACTTAGACACTTTTCAGCGCACTTGTTGATTTGCGGAACAAAAGGTAAATAAACAAAATTGATAAAAAAAAAACTCCTTCGAATTATTAAATTACATTAAAAGTTGTTAAGATAAATATTATATAATAGATGTAATATAATATAAAGATATCAAATTAATAAACTTATTGCATTTGAATGATCTAGGAATTAAGTTGTTTATGCACGTAATAAATTATGAATTCAATACATGAAAAAAATGCTAACATTGTCTGATAAAAAACTATGTAATTGAATCTAGAATTTGTATATGCTATATGTTTATTAAAAAAAAGAATATAATATTTTAATATCATATTTTAAAATACGGTCAATTTACTATGTTTCTAAATAAAAATTTGTAAATAAAAACGTTTAACTGTGTGATAAGATAAACATATATTCATAATACTTTCATTTTTTAATTTATCTTTATTTTATAATTTTGTCGATATAATCAATAAATATGTACATTCCATACTAATATTTAATTTCATTTTATCTATAAAATTAATCGAATTTTATTGAAACATACACTTTGCATCATCTTTCCTTATTTTATTATATTATTTAATTCATTTACTTTGGCAATTTCTATTGAAACATAATCATTTATATTCTATCGATTATATTTTAACATCTTACACCATTAATTGACCATTAAAACGTAATATTAATTAGGCTGTAAATCTAGTATTAGTATCAAGACAAGTGCTCATCAAATGTTCTTAAATTTAAAGTTTTCTAATTATATAGTTTGCTAATAATATTATTTATATATTAAAATTACTTTCAGTGGAAAAAATATGATGTAACTCAGGGTCAAGTCCCTCTTTACAATGTCTAGTAGGCGTTAATTTACGACTATTAATTTAAAAACCACTTTCCGGTCAGTCAATAAGCACCGGCGATCTCTTTAATTTTCAGATTAATAGTCGAGTAATGCAGCACATGTACATACATTTGCTTTCCGGCGTTAATTTTCATAAATGCAGTAAATAGAATTAATATGTTCTAAGGAATCAAACAGTTTATAATATTTGGTATTTGTTGAATATGACATTCAACATGTGAAGGATGATATAATCGTATCGGCCATTAGCCATATAACAAATCAGGCTACTGAAGACGATCATTACATCGGTAACTGATTGATTATATTAGTGTATAATTAGCATGTAAATATAAATTTTTTGGTTTTGAAAATAGCGCATTGTTAATGTTTTGATGGTCTGTGGAGATGAGCAAAAGTAATATTAAAAAATGGGCGATATATTTCTTTATTATTAAACAAATATAATGATGAAAAATTAGCTAGTCAAACACTAATAAAGATAATCTTATATAAAGATAAACAAATTTTAATTCTTAATTTATAAGTCTTGTATTTCATTAATAAATTTAGCATCATTTGAAAATAAATATTTAATAAATAATTATTGATCGTTATAAATTAAGTTTTAAAAATAAAAATTATAGCTATTGTTTTGATTTTTCTTGATTAATATTAACAACCAGTAATATTATTCAGAAGTTTATTCAAAATGTGTAGTCATAATTCAATTACAATTTACCAAAAAACTGACAATATTAAAAACATAATAAAATATTATTTTGCAAATCGATAAAAAAAAAAATATATATATATATATAAATATAATTATATAAATTGTACATTACCACATATAATGTTATTTATAAGAGTCAAAAATTTATTTCATATGAAATATAAGTGTTTTTGTTTAGCAAATAAGTAGATGACACTATGCATCAATTCATTTCTAGCACAATATTTATAAAATCCTTCTTCGTGTGTTTGCATACCATTTAATTGCGTAATTGTATTAAATTCTCCAGTAGCAGGTCTACGCTTACAAAATTCAAATGACGAAATAACATAATATGAAAAAGGCTTTCTGAACATTATATGAAAATTAATTGTGACGCCCATTCTATGTCAACATACTATGTTTTCACTTTTTATATATTAAGTGTGTAACAATAATTATAAGCTAAAATTGATTCAATTTACTAATATTTAGAATTTGACTATTTCCATTGAAAACTTTAAGATTTATTTAATATATTAAATTCATTAGTGAATTTGATAATTGCATTACAGCATATATAAATAAAAAAATGTTATTTTTATTAAGCCTCGACGACAGTTTTATAAATAATTTAAATAAACAATATACACTATAACTGATAATTAACAATGAGCAAATGTATATGATTATTTAAATAGAACAAAATAAATATATTTCGATACTTAATTAAGATAAAAATTTGATCCATATTTATTAAATTTTTTAAAAGTTATTTACTATTATTTTTAGTATTTTTATATTTAAAATCAAAATACCCTCCAAATGGATAAAGAAATGGGATAGACGGATAATCCAATTCTGCTTATCTGAAAAAAGACACCATCAATAAATAAAGCATTAATAAAGCAATCGTTTTATAATAAGATAAGATAAATCTTAATAATAGTTAATGTTTTTAATTAATTTATATAAACAATGTAAATTTTGTTTCCAAGATAGAGAGGTAAGAGGAACCATGTTTATATGTGCTGAATATTATTTTACGCGTAAAGATAATTTAAATTAAAAATCTCATTATACGCTCAAACGATAACAAATATATTTGATATTAGATAATAAATATGAATGAATGAAAAACAATTATTGTAATCTATTAGAATTATTCAGAAAATTTTTAATTAAATTTCTATCATAAATGTAAATTACAAAATGAAAAAATAAATATTATAAAATTTAATAAATATGGATCAAATTTTTATCTTAATTAAGTATGGAAATATATTTATTTTGTTAGACATACAATTCTATCTATCAATTCAAATTAGGACACTAACGAGGTTTCAGTTTTGACATAAAAAGATATAAATAAAAATGATCTAAATAATAGAAACACGATTAATCGAATAATTAACTTATGAATGTTTCACAATTCAAAAGCTGAAGTGTAAACACTTTAATTTTCTCGTATGTTCTAAGCAATTTATAATAACGATAAAATTATGATTCCTACTTTAAATACAAAGAAATATTGCAATTATTAATTTTGATGGTATTGACGCAATGTGCCATGTCGGTCGCAAGGTTGGATAGACTAAAACGAGAAAAGCAGGGTGATAAAAGGCATACAGTAAATAGTTGTACAAATGCTCGCAATGCCGTAACCTCTACGTACATATGTCTTTACATGAAACAAATATAAATTTATGTATAAATAAAAATATATATACATCGAATTAATTTAAATAAAATTTTATTTTATTTGATATGCATATTATTGGATTGTTGCTTATAAAATATAATGTTTTTAAGACTGACTCTAATTAAAATCTAATTAATCGCTTAAATAATATCTATTTCCAACAATTGTATTACAATTCAAATACACTTATCCAACTAGCACTCTGAATTTTATTATAAGTAAATTTTTTATCAAACAAGGTTATTATTGAAAAATAGATATTCTATCGTTCTTTATTATCAAATTAGTTATATCGATGTATGAAGTTAATTTATTAAGCAAAAACAAATTATGAAATACAATGGATGAAATCAATAAGAAAACAATTAAAAGGAACACTTAAATATTTGTATCAGAATAACATTGTAATTCCAGATAAAAATAAAAATTATTGCAACCATTAAAAAAAAAATCTTAAAAATAAAGGAAACCAAAAATACGCGATTTTTCATTTATATTCTTAATAAATACATATAATAATAATTCGATAATAATAAATACATTGAAATTCATTCTAAATAAATGATCGATGTTGTATTTC